CATCGAAGAAAGTCTAAAATCAAACATATGAATTATAATACGTTTATTGTTTATGCACGAAATTTGATTTTACAAAATTATGTACGTAATTTACAAATATTAATAATACGTTATTAATGTATATTTGTAGTATTTCTGTAACTAACGCAACTGAAAGGTTGTACACTTATGTAGTAAGATTTTACATAATATATTTATGTTCTACAGTCACAAGTTACATAACGATTTATTTATACAGAATGTTTCATAAATAGTTGGAGTAATATTAACCAACCATTTTGATGTAAAATCATATGAATAGTGCGAAGGAACATTTGATAAATCTTCCATAGCTGATGGTAAAAAGTTAATCTTTTCGAAAGAGTTTGTTTGATACGTCGTATCTATGATATTATACTGACATAACATATATTTTCATATTCTCGCGGTCCATTGACCTACGTAAGAGTTCCTGATATTTCTTAATTGATGTACATGCATTTGAAAATTATAATTTTACAGTAACTTAATGACACTGTTCTAAAGAATTGTTAAATAACGATAGAAAATTTTCTTTCCTCAAGTATTTATATTTTACGTATTTTCATGGTTTTAGAGATTCAATCTCTTAACATTTTAGAAAAACTGGAAAATGTGCTGTTAACATATCCGTTATTATGATTATACATTTAATATTCATATTTTTAATGCATAAAAAATTAATTTTGTAGAGATATTTATATTTATTTAAATTAATATTAGCATTATTAATACGGTCATATTTATTTTATATTTTGGTGAATGATACAGATATTAATTTTGTACAAAAAATGAATTTATTTAGTTTATTCTGTAAAAATACATATTTCATTAACTTTTAAATTTTCACGACAACCGTGCATTTATTTTGTCCTGAACAAAAGGCATAGGGTACATACATCAAAGTTACTGATAATGCGAATAAATAGTATATACAACAATATAAGTAATTGTTTACAGTTTCGTATGTACACCGACATCCTATTTTTATAGTCACTTGTTTGGCCAGTTTTTATTTGGACAATTCCAATGTATTATACGTGTCAGGTATGTGAGTGAAATCTGAAGAATGTTTACGGTAATTGCTAGAACTAATTGAACCTATCTTTCCAACGTTAAAAGGTTTTCTGATTCGTGAATAACGTAAAAATAGTTTTTATGTAATTATTCGTACCATAAAGTATTAATATACATCGGAATAATAGATTACCTTTATATATATTTCAAAAGGTTTTTTCTTTAAATTAAGTTGTTTAGTAGTTATACGCATTTGTATCGTGACAATCATACTGAGCTAATATTTTTTCCAGCACTGTATGTATTTAGAAAAGGTGTACATATGATTACTTACAGATCAGGGTAGAGCAACGTTGAATACTAAAATGTATATTATTTATAAAACACAAATTTAGTAGGTTCACGTTCATTTTCAAAATCGTATTATAGTAATTAATTTATGAAAATGAGATTGTAAGTACTAAATGAAAATTACAAATAAGCATTGTGCTTAAAAACTTGATATACGTAAACAGCTTTTAAAAACATAATACTTTATTCAGGATGTCAGATTATCAAACGATTGCAAAATACATTTTGACGTACATTAGGAATGAAACAAATTTAGAAATAATATAATCATATAGGAGTATTATAATCAATATCAAATTACAATATAGCGTTTTATTTATCAGACTAACATCATGCTAGTTTAATGTTTGTTAACAAAATTTTTAACAATTTATTTCAACATTAATATAATAAATTTAATTAATTGGCATAACACAAAATGTCTACTAGGAAATTTTTGATGCTATCTAAATTAATTCTGGGTAAATTTATGGTATTTCTACGAGATTCTTGCGTAACTCGTCATTTTTGTAAAAGTATTCGAAAGACTGCCATAGTATGTGCTATATGTATAGCATTTTACGTTTTAATGCGCGTATAGCGAAATCTTCTGTACTGTTTGATGTTATACGTGAATATTTTGAAGATAGCATGTAAAAGTAAGAAATTAACTTCAGCTTAAGAATAAAATAGTGTTATTGCATAACTGTTTAGCGAAATATTTTCTTGGTATTACTTTTGTCTATATGTATATAACTTTTGCAATTTAAGAAACATGTGTTTTTATGTTATTTCGGTATCACTGCATTCTCTTAAATCAGTTTCTTTCGGAAATCAATAAATTTTGTGTAAGAATTACTTTTTCAATTGGTATTTATGTTTAGTAAAATTAATATTTTCTAGTTCGTCAGTTAAAAGATATAATTTGTTGTACATAAATTTAAATTATAACGAAACGTAAGAGCAGACTCAAATATAGGAATAATAAAATTGAAAGTGATCTTGCGTAATACTGACAGGCGTACGCTCAACGTTCTATACATGTAGCTCACAATTACCATTTATTCGATGTCAAGAAAAAAGAGGAGAACGTTACACAGGCACGGTGTCGTAAATTCATTCGTAGATGCGGAAAACATATGTACATATATATAAAAGAAAAAATATTAAACATTTTGCATTGTTTCTTTGTACAAGTGCATTAGACAAATGCAAATATAACACTCTTGTATACACGGTATGGGGTATGGATGTGTACTCATTTGGCTTTGGTCCATAGTAGATATATCACGTTTCTTTTCTTACATCGTGCTTTCAAATTTTGAAGCAACGCATGTTTTAGAATCGTGACATGTATCGATTAAACAGAAGAATGCTATGCATAATATGAAATCGACATTATTGTTGAAAAATACATTTTCAAAGCGAAAAGAGTTGTTTTTGCTTCACTAAATTTTGGATAAGCGTATCAAGTATTAAAATAATACCCGAAAAATGACGAAAGGATTTGTATTCTGTCGTTAGCATGCTTTCGTCAATTGTACTTTGTTACTTTCATGTCTTGATCAGTTTCATATAATCATTTATTTATATCGTATAATTCATACGTAGATTTTGTTAATGTTTATAATTTTGGAACACAAAAATATTTTAAATCGATGGATCAATTAGTATCAGTTAAAGTGTTTCAGACAAAATGAATGTTTTGAGTTTAACGCATACATTATACGCACTGTTATTAATGTATGTACAAATTTGAAGTATATACTTTTATTCCTTTTATTGGCATTAATTATAATGTAATACAAAAAAAATATTTGACGTAGTAGTACTTAATAAGGGCAAATGTTGAATGTTTAATGTTTCTTTTTCTTTTATCATAAAGTATACCAGCTCTTTTATTTTAATATTATTTCCTGTTATTGATTTAATATTGAAATACAAATACTGGCTCAGCGATTTGTTGTATACATAGAAAGTGTACATTTATCTGTATATATTTAGCTTTTAATATTTAATGCTATTAAAAGACTAACGTTTTTAGTTGACATATCTTCCCGTAAAAAATTAAAATTGTCGTCGAAGATAAAGTTGCATGGCTTTTATAATTTCATACATTTGTAATTTTTTACATGTTCCAAGTAATATACAAAATTTTTAAATTTAATTACTAAAAAATTTAAAGTTCACGAAAATTGCATAAACAACAGGTTGCTTGTTTTGTGAAAATAATTATCATTTTCTAATCTCATCGAATCGTATATATAGATACACACACACACACACACACACATATATAGTTCTCACACTGACAAACTTTCGGAATTGCGCGTTCGTGGAAGATCGGTTCGTTTCGGTGGAAATCGGCTCGCTTCGCTCGAGCGAACATCGCGGTGCCAACACGAACCGGAGAATTTGAAGCCGGGACTCTCGTTGCCTGCTGTGCCTTTTCTCTTTCGTCGTATGTTTCTTTTTCTCACTCTCTTTCTCCCTCCTTTCGTCATCAGTGCCTCTCTTTTTCTTGCCATTCCACCATTTCCCTTGTTCACCGTGGTGCCCCTTCTTGCATTCGTTCGTTCATTCGTTACGTTGCCTAGCCCTGGGAATGCGCGGTCGCTGTACCTCTCTCTTTCTCCCGCGCGCTTGCTTGTTTGCTCGCTCCCTCCGTTTCTCACTCTCGTTCCATCTCTGTTTCACTCACTCACGCGTCTTATTGACCCGGACCCGGTTCTCTTCTCCTCTCTCTCGATTCGCCGGGTTACCTCCGACTCACCCGCCTCTTGATTGGGGGTTGAGTGGGAAGAAAGGAAGCCCAATGTACAAATCCTATGATATACATTTTCATTTTGTCTTGCCCATGGATGATTTAAAAAAATTGAAACTTTGAAAGGTTGTGCAATTTTGCGTTGTTTCTTGCGCGTTAGACATTTCTTGCGGAGTTCGGTTTTCATGAATAATACGGCAAAATACTCGTTGATTGTTCCCACGATATGTTTTTATATTAATAGATTTGATCTCTCTTCTGACATTAATCAAAAATGTTGATTGTACTTATATATTGGAAATTATAATCTGTGCATAACATTCGTATTTGATGCAAGTCAACTTCTGTTGTTTGTTGTAAAACAGTAACAATGTTTTAAATAATAACAAAAAGTATACGAATAATTTTATTCGCGTATAAGTTTACCTTGTATCATGATAATAAAATATCCTTGTTTACAGTGAAATCCGACTCGGTAATGTTGGTTTTGCTTTGTCTGTAAAATTGTAGAAAAAAAGACTAAAATTAATGTGAAGCTTTGTCCAATATATTAATTGTATATTTATTATGCTTAGTTCAAAGTAACTATTATTATAAAAACATATTTTAAAATAAAATACGGTACGTATTATTATAAAACATGCTATTAGAGAAACATTTTATTTAGACAATGGAGAAGATGTAAATTAAATATTTACAACACTAAAAAATTTATTGATTTTCTAAAAGGGATGTGACAATTATACGAGAAAATATTTAATTAAAAGGTGAATTATTGTGTAACAAGGTTGCGTAGATACTGATACATGTTTTATATGTATATACACGTATATGCATATTTTATGTTTATAATTGACGTGTACATAGAACCAAAGTATAATTTTATGCAATTCAAACGAAATTACCAAGAGTTCTTCTATAATTTGTTTCTTTGCAAATTTAAAAGTTCTTCCATATCGACTGGGCAAGTAACATGGAGTGAGAGTTCTTCAGTCGGTAAAGCCGACTTGACACGCAGGAAAAAGGGTGCGCGAAAAGCAGGAAGTGCCAATGTGGAGCAAATTCCAGTGGCCGTAGCAGTGTAACGAAACTAAGAAGGGTAAAAAAAGGTGCGAGAAGAAAGAGCGCACGGCGACAAGTCAGAGTTGGTGTATCTTCCTCTCCCTTTCGCTCTCTTTCTCTGCCTAAAAGTTGACCTCGAGTTTCAAGGGTAGAGAAGGGTTTGCAGTCGTTTGCCCCTCTACCTTACCAGGGACTACGAGCCATGGCTCTCGAATTCTCTACGAACGGAAGAGAGAAAGCGACGTTGCCTCGACGTCGGTAGTGGTAGTCTCCCGCCATCCCCACCATGACTGTAATGTAGTTCGATTGGTTGGCGTGCTCGGGTTTTCCTTTGTGAGCGGGCGGGTGAAAGCGTGGCTTGGCAACGCTGTACGAGTTCGCCGGCGTCCGCTGGAAGGAAGGCTAAGCTCGTGTAAGTGGAACAAGGATAGAAGAACGCGGAGAAAGAGACAAACAGACAAGTAGCGAGTGAGACTTCGGGCCAAATGGAGGGGGATTGAGTTGGAGAAAGAGAAAGAGAGAATGTACAAGCGTCCAGCCAGGCCGTCCTCGCCAGCTTCGCCCTCTGTGTGTGCGGCATCGCGTGTAGAGTCGGTGGCGAGAGAAGCAATCCGCGCGTAAGCTTCTCCATGTGAAAAAGCTATTACGCGTTCCACTACCACCGTGCATCCATCCAGCGTCGGTGTGCATATGCACGCATAAAAGCATTGCGTCTCTACGCGCGCGTGATGTTGCATAGAGTGCATAATTAGCGACGTGTGTGTCGCGAAGTAGAAGAGACGTCACGTTTCCGAGGAAGAAAACGGCAATATAGATGTATTTTTGCGTAAAAAAGACGACAGTGTACGCGTAAATGAATGAGTATACGATCTTATGCCTGATACTTTTATCGGTACCACCGAGAAGAAACGCTGTGTTTCTCGAATGAAAGGCTCCATGAGTACTTAGGGGAGGGAAGAAGAGAGACGAAGAGACGCACTGTATCTGTCGATGGTGGGGAGACATAGGGAAAAAGAAAGAGCTAGAAGGGGAGAGAGAGCGCCCTCCCCTACTCACCCGCCCGTCCTCCTCCTCTACCCGCCGTACCTACTCACGGAGCTAACGAACGGTTGAGCGTAGCGTCGAGTAGACCGCATCCCAAGTATAACGTACGTATTCACGAGGACCTTCTCCTATACATCGTGGAAAAAGCGTGTATGAAGCCGCCTGTGCAACCGGGAGTACTAGTAGTGATCGTGTAGTGCGCCGGCTGGTCAAGAGAAACGTGGTGTGACGACAGTGAGAGAGCACGGTAGCGCGTGCGGTGCGTGTTGCGTACACGACGGCTACGAACAAGACTCCGTACGAATGTGAGGGTACGCGTGAGTGTGTGTGTATATCTTCTCGTGAGAGTAGGCGAGCGAGTGCGTGCGTGCGTACGCGCGCGCGCTGTGTGTGTGTGTGAGTGTGAGGGAGAGAGAGATTGTGTGTGTGTATGTGTGTGATTGTGTTCCCTGTATGAGGGAGACAGAGGAACGTATGTGTGGGTGAGTGCGTGAGCGTGTAAATTCTTCGTGCGTCCTTCTTTTCGTTGTTGGAGGAACGGTTCAGTAAACGAGGCTGAGGTGACAGACAGACCGTCCGCGTGTACGATATGTCGGAACACCACCGCGTAGCCGGTGGCTGGGGCACACCGAGCCCAGGAAGCCGCGAGGATGCCTCCGGTGGTACCGCCTGGTGGCCTTCGGGTTTAAACACCGTTTCGGCCGAACAACAACAGCAACAACAACAAAATCTACATCAGCACCTGATGAACCAACAACAACAACAGCTATCGCAACAACAAGCTCAGCAACAACAGCATCATCAGGATATCGCGAGGAGTACAGCTGCCGCGGCTGCTACTCAACAGCTTTTCTCCTACAAGATGGCCTCCAGCTTTCAGAACCCAGCCACTACGGGCACGCAGTCGAATCCCGTCTCAACGTCTTCGCCGGTTGGCTCCTGCATGAGGGGAGGCTATGATTATAGATTAGGAACGGGGCCTGGAACAGGCGGTGGTGTACCTGGTACACCATCCGCACCACCGCCTGGTGTACAGTGGTGGTACCCAGGTGGAGTTATGGACGCCGGACAGAACAACCTGCATCAGCAATTGCAGAGCCAACAACAGCAGCAGCACCTCTCGCCCATTACCACACAAACGTCCACGCCCCCCGTTATGTCCCCGGTATGTTGCGACCACGATCGACCCCCTTTTATATGCTTCCTCTTTTCTTGTCGTTGCCTGCTTCTAACAATTTTTTTTATACCCTATATATACATATACAATTTTTCGCTTACTTTTAGTTGCGCGGGATTCTTCTATGCACCTGGAAGAAGAACCTGATCCGGTCTTAATATTTCTTATCAATCGATCTTGCAATGCTTTTTAACTGTCACATTTAAATTTCTAAATGGCAACACGTTGCAGTTTACAATTATTGTCCACATTTTCGTTTCTTCCGTAGATCGATTCGGAGGTTTTTCGACTTTCTTAGCGTTGGTCCGAAATACGCAATCACATATTTTTCTAGCGTTTTATTCTTCTAGAATACCTTGATCGCATATGTAGATTTAACAATCGCAAGTGAATAGTTGGCTTTCATGGTATTGTTATTTCAAAAAATCGCTAATGGATTTTTCAATAACTTGAGCATTTCGCAAACATCAGTATTTCGCTCGATCTTTAAGCTGGATATAGGGAAGTAACAATACAACAGAAATAACAGCAATTATAGCTGTACACACCAATCATCAATTTGTCATTGGATATATGTAAGGTTATCATAAAGTATATTTACTTTAATTCGTACTTCCATTTGTTTCTGTTGTAAATTTTGTTTTGTTTTATATATTGCATTTTGTATAGTTATTTAGTAACTTAAACGGCAATATTATCAGACTTTTGTTTAATTATGGTAGACAATAATTTGTCTGAATGTTGTTAAATGAAATAGTTACTTTGGGGGAAACTGCTACCATTTACCTTATTAATTTAAATATATGATTACATGATTTTTAAGTTAAAAAATACGTCAAAATGGTACATTTGACATGTATTATTTTATATTTTGCTGGGATTATTGTTGCACGTTTAGTGCCTATAGTTATGGCTACGACCAAACTGAATACATATCAGTTTTGTGATGTTTAGAAAATCTTAATAACCGATTCTATCATGCCTGCTTTCGCACTACCGTCTGCGTTTCATCCTGACTCGCGTCTCTTGCCCCACCGACCGTTGTCCGCTATTGATTCCGGGTTTCGTGCAGCCTTCTTCGTATGTACGTTCGTACAGTGGCTCTTGCCGCGCCGGGCCCGGTTCCCTTCCTTTTTTTCGATTCTTCTGATTGACATCTTTTAGACACTCACAATTAGAAATGGAAATTTCGATTAATTGTTATATTTCTGATACAAAAATAAAGGAATTTTAATTTTCTTTAAAAACGAATAGAGAATTTTTTAAGTTTCCAAGTAACTAATCGTTCTTTTCTAATTGTTCACAAAGACGCAATTTTCATTAAATGAAAATGTAATAAAAAAAACTGCGAAAAAAAGAAAATTTCAATATTTTCTTCCCGATTAAAAGTGAGAGAAGTATATCTTTTTCCATTTTTCCAAATTTTGATTGCTCGTCGTAGTTTTGGTACCAAAAAAAGGATCTTTCTTTGATTAAAGATGGCAAAAGAATTCTATTTTTTCGAAGCTTTTAATAGCTCGAAAATTAGTTTTTAAATGGAAATTCTGTTTTTCGGAGATTATGAAGGTTTGGGTATATCCATTCTATGGTAGTGTGGTTTAGTCGTTCATAATTAGATACAAAAATTCCGATCAATAGTTGCCCTGTTTGCTATGAAAAGAAGCAAATTAGTTGAAGGGCGAAAGGACTCCATTTTTCAGGTATTCTAAAAGTCTGTAAATTTACTTTGTGGTAGTTCAACTTGTAGATTGTGGTCATTTTTTAATCGGTTAGAATTCTTAATTGAAAATAGGAATTCTAATTAATGATTTTCCTTTCCTTCTTATTTTGCAAATAAAAAAATGGTTGTCCCTTCCAGATTGTTTTAGAAATCTGATAATTGATATCTTGTTTTCTTCTGCTCTCTATTTCTGAAAAATCATAAAAATGTTGTTTTCTGGTTAAAAAAATATTATTATTTGGACATTTTCAATGTGTAGAATTTTAATTTTTTCCCCCCGTAAGTAAAAGTGGTAAAAAAGTAAATTTAGAAATCATTTTTCTTTATTGAAAATTTAATAAATCTTCTGTTTTCAAAGTGTTTTTATAAACTAAAAATTGATTTTTCAGCTATTTGAAATAAAAACAGAAATTTCAACATTAGCTCTTTAGATACGAAAAGAAATGAAATATTAAATAATTGTTTTATTTTGAAAATGTATTCCAAGGTCCTAACTTTTGATTAATTTTGAAGATTTGAAAATTCATTTTTCGATCGTTGTGATCTATTTTATAATCGTTTACAATTAGAATCAGTGATTCCGTTGTAATAGTTTTTTTCTATCTGAAAAGGGGGAAAATTTTAAACTTGTCTGGTTTATTGTAGGAAATTGAATTTTGTTTCTCAGAGATTCTGAATACGGGTAAATTCTTTTTCTTACTTTTCTGGTCTGTATTTTCATCGATAGATATTGGTATCTTTATTTGTGCAAGAATTACATTCGAACATGTAGAAAAAGCTGAAATATCTGTTTGATGAAATGTTTAATTTCTTTTTGCTACTTCAAATTTTATTTTACTCTTCTATGAAAATAAATTGAATACACATTTAATAATCAGAATGTAGTATACTTAAATTTTGGTGTAAATATTTTCTTTTTCATATTTTTTATATATTGCCGTTGCCTAAAGCTTTTTGTTCAATTGTCTACGCACGGTATAAAAATTGAATTTGAACAATTATCCACCATTCTATCTAATGTTTAACGGTTTCCAGTATTTCGTGGTTACGTTCTAATCTAATTAGAGTAGAACCTCGTGCACTGAGTAATACAATTTAATGTTAAGTCTCTGTACTATGTATCTTGTAATGGAAAACTTAATTATCAGTATATGAATTATTTAAGATGCAGGAATTGAAAACAAGATCCTTATTACACCGTGTATACGTATACAGATTTTGCTAATTAGACTTCGACTGCTTCAAGTCGTAACACTTTTTGTATCTTTGGGAGCAAATATGTCGACCGAATAGAAAAACAGGAGTCTATATAAACATTCTTATCTTCGAAACACAGTCCTGTCACAAGTTCGAATTCATACAAGAATGTCAACAAGTTACTGTTGAACTGCAGTATACAGTGTGCTTTAAAATAAGAGATCACGTTAATCAATGATAATGGTGTTCGCTTCGTCAATCAGTTATTTCGGTTCTCTATAAAATATGCTTCTACGTATATCGTTTGTTTTAATGAAAAGTTTTAAAATCTTTATAGCATCGAATTACGTACATTTTGAAAAGTTTCTTATTTATGCTGAATAATTGTTTCACAAGTATTCAGTATCTGTTAACAGGGTTGATTTGCAGACTTTATCAAATAAACATTTCTTGCATATTTTTGTAGTATATTCTTTCTCAACGATTTTTCAACCATTTTTTTTTTATAACACACAGTGTATACCAGATGTAAGTAAATTTGTCATACTTCGAATAACTGTTCCGTAGTATCAATTATGTTGAACTATGTTTTTAAACGTGGGAAATAATTACTCTAATGCATTATTACTACTTTGCATAAATTCAGTACAGAATATTGAAAATGTATTTGGAGTAATATTAAAAGCAGGACCCAAATGAAAGTTAAGATCGAAGTCTCTATCTATCAGGTGGAGTGAAAGTCTGAAAGTGGTCTGAAAATTTAAGATTATGGTGATAGAGGTAAATGAAAGAGGTAAACTTACATTCTTTCGTGTATATAAGAATAAAACAATTTTATGATTGTTAACAAATTTGGTAAAAGAAAGTCAGATATTTGTCATTCTATTTTAAAAATAATCTGAGTTCGTTCCATCGATTTGTATTCATAAAATTGTATGTATTGTGTGTGTGACTCACTCTTTCCAGAATCGTTCCTGTTTCATAGTACGAGTGATAAATTTCACTTTAATCGAGATATAAAGGAAGGCTATTATATCTTCTATGTATGTTCTTCTATGTAGGCTATGTATCTTCTCTTCTTTTTCCAGTTGTATTATTGGGATTGGTTTTATGAGAAACAGGATCAAAGGAATGTATTTCATATACACTTTCAAATGTGTTACAAGTATTTCAAATTTACAGGCTATGTTTCTTTTTCTTTTTATGATTACTTCAATTTTTTGATAAATTGTAATTTATTTTAGTGTGTTTTTCTTATGTTATTAATGTTTCGCGTAAGGTTGAAAGAATAAGTTATATCTCAATTTGATAAAAAAGAAACTACATATTTGAATGGAAATTTAACGTAGCAATTAATTTCAATAAGATTTTGTTTCAAATCATTGTTTAATATATTTTCAAGTAAAATAACGGATATGAAATAAACACACGGATAACTGATTAAAATTTTATAATCACTAACTATAGTAGAATCACCAAAGAAATAAATTATTAAGACCAAGAGTGATAATTGAACGATTTACTGAATGTACCACAATAGAAAATTCGAAATTTTCGAGTTATATGTACTTTGTATATCGTACAGGGTGCAAACATTAAATTTTTTTAATGTAAGGTATAATATAAATCAGTTCAGTTATGTTTCATACTGACGGATTTATTAAAATTTCATAATTATCAACAATAATACTGTATTTATCGTAAATATCGAGGTCGAATAATTGAAATGAAAAATTATAATTGGAAACTGCATATACTAGAAAAATTGAAAATTTGTTTCAGATGAATATATTTTACGTATTTTGAATTTTTATGTACTATCATATTATTTGCAGATCAATTAATTTTGTAGTAGACCATTTCAATGTATTATAAATTCATTGACATCATTTTGTACCTAATTATCATATACTTTAAACAAGGTCGAAGAATATTATTTACAGTATACGAAGTACATTGTCAGGTACAAAACAAATGTCGTAAACGTTTATAAAAGTTAACCATCTGTTACAACTATTTCTGTATGCGTACATATGATTTCTCTTACACTCGAGGCCATACAGATCATTTCAGTTGATTCTAAGAAGGATTAAGTGTGATTCAAATTCCATTCTGTATTCAAATGAAGACAAACATTCTGACAATTATAAATTTTTCACAATTAAGATTAATTTTTGAAATTATCGAGATTAGTGATCGACAATATAATTTCATCTAACCTTTCATGACACGTATTTGTTCTACTAAAATTTTTATTTTAATAATATTTGATATTTTGTTTAGCCATTGTTGATATGTTTAATCTGAATTATTGAATCTTTTAAATATAAATGGATATTGTTTTAATATTATAAATTTGTAATATAAGTAATATACATAAAACAATGTTAATGATTGAAGTTCATTATTCTCTACGGTTATTATCGTATTAGTTTCTTTAGTACAAATATTTAAACAAAATTACTTCGGTCCTTCAAATCGTAATAAACAAAACTTTTTACTATCTAAATTGATAATTATACCGATAGTCAGTTTGCTATTGCTACTATTTACACTTACTATTGAACTGTCAGAAAGAGAGAACAATTTCTTTCAAGAAAGTGATTATATGATGTAATTAAGCTATCAAAATAATTTAGAAGATTGTCAAAAAATAAGACAAATATTTTATTCTCAAGTTATAATATTATGATATCAATGCATTTATATTGTAGTGAATTTTCATGTATCACAAAATTTTTTATTTTTTTTATTGAAAACAATGTAGATTCACTTTAATCTTATGACAAATATTTCTTTATAATTTAAAAAGATGTGAAATATAAGTTATATTTTAGTGCATTAAATGTATCTACTAATAATACCCTGTAAAATAATAAAAATGATAGAATCTTGGGTCTTACTCTTGGGAATAATTGGAAATTAATATGAATAGAAATGCACTTTATAAATGTAGACATTTATTTTGTAACAATTTCCAATTGATTTACGTTTGAAAATTTGAAATTTTGTCAAGAAACATTTTTTTAATTAAATCTCTAATTATATAGGCAGTTAATACCTATTCGGTCATGCGGGTTCATGTTTATTAACTACACACAGTAATATACAATGAAATAGTAATTTTAACTGCATCTTGATGATATGATGTTACTTAAAGGAAATCAATTTTTAATGCTTTTTTTACAATGTTTATTTATTGGTCATTAATACTAACGACGATATTAAAGTTCTGTTTTTCGCAAGTATCTATGTGTAATGGTTTATTTATAAAGTTCAGTATCTCAATAATAAGATAAATTTTTACTTTTTAATAGTATAGTTTTTAAAGAAACTGTATTTCTATTGTTATACGGTATCTATGCTTAGTTAGACAGCAATTACAAATGTGTTAATATGATTTCTTGCAAAATATTTTCTTTAAACAAATTAATAAATATGTGTACTTATTTAAACAATTACATATATAAATTATATATCAAATATAATAATTATAAAAGAAGTAATTTATTCTGCAAATAACAAATTGAACGTCCTTTAAGAATCTTACACTAGATGCATTCAAAACTATAGTACAGTATGATATTATTTATAAAGTTCTTGCACAATGCTCGCTCCGTAATAAATAATGTTGATAAAAAATCTGTTATGCGATAAATAGTTACGTCTTAATTAGTACGAGAGTAATGCTGTACCAATGTTAATAATTACATTAGATTAAAAAACAACTTGGGGTACAAACTGCGTAAATTTGTATAGAAATTTTAATTTTCGTTTACATTATCTTCAGAAGGCTTATACGTTGCTTTCTTTAATAACACTTTTTTTTAAATCTCGATAGAACGTTTAGTTCAGATACCCTATTTAGCATTATGGCATGTATATTGACTAAAAATTTGTAAATCTATATTAACAATTTATTTTAAACAATTCGTAAAGTATAAATACACAGATGAGACGTGATATATTCAGCTAACTATTTTTTGTATACATTAATATAATACACATATAGTAAAAATTTACATACATATAGTATTCTATCATAATATATTTGCACGCATTGCTGTTATGCGCTAATGTTATTTTAGTTCACAAAGCAACGCTTCGCATATGAAAAGGGAATCTTGTTAATAATACGTACTTTTATTTCTAAGAATATTTTTAAAAGAAATACAGAATATGTTGCTAATATATCGCACGTGATATAGTAGTAATATATGAAATTAATATTAATTGTGTACGTACATCTCTACATGGACTAATTAATTAAAATTTTTGAAAAATTACATTTACTATGGTTCGAAATTGGTAAGAGGCGAATAGAGTTTTAATGTAGTCACTTACAAAAGTGTCCATGAAGCTGTGAACGACTTCAGTTCTTGAATTAAATCGATTATTTGAACATTTCGAAAAGGTCGAGGAAATTCAATTTCGAGTAATTCACAAAAAAATATTCGATCCGTTTGCTTACACGAGTATTAATTCAATACTGTATAAATATAAATATAATTTAATATATTTATAGAGCACTCAAGAAGATTCAGTTTTTAATCAAAATTGCCAAGATTTTAAACAGAAGAGAATTACGTACATAGAAGTTGAACGGAATATAATCACTAAAATTTTACAACATCGAACCAGTGAATATTTTAGTTTCGCGATATTACCAATCATTACGAATTACTTAAATTATTTATTTTTAATGAACATAATCCTAAAGAGATTGTTCTTGGAAATATCCTTTCGATACTGACGTTAAATGATATCTGGCAATTGTAATCACGTCCATTAATTGTTTCCTTTATTTCTTCAATTACAGCACCAGTTGCAGCAGCTAACGCAACAACAAAATAATCTTCAACAAAATAACGCTCAGAGCTTACAACAGCGAGACAATATGCCGAGAGGAAAGGATTCAAAGCCAAGAGGACGGATGACCGCATATGCGTTCTTCGTGCAAACATGTCGCCAGGAACACAAAAAGAAACATCCCGAGGAAAAAATTGTTTTCAGAGAGTTCTCCAAAAAGTGTGCAATGAGGTGGAAGGTAAGCAATCATACTATTATTAAGTATTTATAATATTGCTGCTACTGAAATTATAATTACTATGTATATTGCTCAAAATCACCTAATCAAAGAACTATTGATACTGACTATATCTCAAAAATATTCAATAATTTAGGATTTCCAGTATATCCAATATACGTTTATACAGGGTGTTCGGCCACCCCTGGAAAAAAATTTTAATGGGAGATTCTCGAGGCCAAAATAAGACGAAAATCAAGAATACTAATTTGTTCATGGAGGCTTTGTTGAAAAGTTATTAACGTTTAAAGTTCCGTTCGTACTGAATTTTTTTCTAGAAAGTGGGTAGGATTTCGGGGGTAGGTCTATTCACCAAAAATTATTGTAACTAACCTCCGCAACCGAAAATAATTTTTCCAGGACGATTTGAAATTTTTTAATTTCGCCTTAAAACTTAGGCACCTACTACCCCCTGGTTGATTTTTCTTAAAAATTTGTGTTTCATTTTTAATAAATTTGTTTGACGTCCTACAGAAAAGTTGTCTAATACTTTTTTGTAGGTACCCATGGGCTCTGTTTCAGAAAAAAATTTAAATGAGATACCTTTACTATGATAGAAATTATGGCAGTTTGAAAATTGGACCAGTTTTAAGGGGTTTTTCTCACTTTACGGTGTCAAGGAACAACTTTTTCAATATTGTTAAAATTTCGACATATTCTCCACTAAAATACGCGTTGTTTGCATTTTGAAAAATTTAAATCCTCCAATTCGTTCAAGAGTCATGATGTTTTAAAGATGCGCATGAAATTTCAGGGAAGCATTTCTGACCTCACATTAGATTTTCGATAAAGAATTTTTTTCTCGAAAGCGCGTAGGATTTTGGGGTATGTCTATTCACCAAAAATGCTTGAAATTGACCTCTGTAACTAAATATAATTTTTTTAGTATGATTTGAAATTTTTTAATTTCATCAAAAAGTTTCAGTACTTACTTGAATTTTTTTCTCGAAATTGGGTAGGATTTCAGGGGTATGTGTATTCACAAAAAATGATTGTAATTGAGCCCGGCAACCAAAAATAATTTTTTCAGAATGATTTGAAATTTTTTAATTTAATTATTTAATAACTTCTAAATGAAGCCTCAATTAAGAAATTGATATTCTTGATTGTCGTCTTATTTTGACCTCTAGAATCTCCCATTAAAATTTTTCTCAGGGGTGGCCGAACACCTTGTATATTAAACATTTGATCTATATTTCTAAATTTCCCAAAAATCTTGATAACTTATTAACATGAAATCACAGTCATTTAATATACTGTTTAAGAAAGAAATGAAAATATCTCATTAACTTTATGTGACTTTGTGAAATCGTAAATGAAATAGAGGAGTAATTGAATGTAAGAGCAAACTAAACAGAAAACAATTGTATTTATTATTTTTTTTTCAATATTACACATACATCTAACAATAGTGGTTCATGTTTTTACTCATAAAATGTATCTATGTTTATTTATTATAAGTTATTTTGAAGAAGTACATTATTTAAGTATTCAAATATTCATGGGACTAGTCAGAGACTGTAATGGTGTCGAATCACAAGCATGATAAAAAAAAATTAGTGAAAGCTTCGAGGACATAAAATGACCTTCTGCACCCAATGTACGCAACATTGAATTTCAAAGGTTAGCTTCGAACGAATTAACATATTTCTAATGGAACATCTTAGTACACTCTTTTAAATACATTTTCCTGTAATTAGTTCGTTAAACGCGTTTCAGAAAAAATAATGGTGTCTGGCGTTGTAAAAATGTACTTAATTTAAGAAGTAATTTACAGTTAAGTGACCTCGTATGGTAGTTGATATATGTTGATTTCTTTAAAGATTACTTTCTTGCATATTTTCATATTGAAGTTAATAGACTAAATAAAATCGTTTTAATTGTTTAACATTTGCAACAGTAATAATAATAAGCATTAAGTTGGTGTTTTATAAAAGATCTTTTATAAATAAACGTTCATAAATATTAGTAATGCCTCTAAAGTACTATTTTGAATTGATACAGTACAAAACAGCATTTGAAAACGTTTCATACAAAAATAAAGAGACGGATAAAGCTAATTGGAATATTATACCTGAAAATTGTATTGACATATGGAATTTATGTTTAATTTTTATTGTTGTAGCTTCAAAGCATTCGCACAATGACTATATGTATATACTATATCATGAATATCTAAATCACGTTTGATTTCTAATTATGAGAGTTATACTGAATTCTAGCCAGGAAACTAGTTTAATGTGAACAGATAATATTTAGAATTAACGGTTATCGTATACACTTACTGACTACCGATAATCCCGTCACGAGTAGAATTAAAATCAGGACCGGTTTACAAGAAGATGTTCCATAGAATTTGTTCCTTATGTAGCTGCGCGTTGAAAGCTAATGCTATGCTAGTTACAAGTGTATCTTCCATAAGTGATTAAATTTTGTACATTATTTTATTAACTGTTTGTTTGTACAAGATGTTTCTGAAATAGATGATCAAACTTTTATATTCATTTTGCAGTCAATTTTGTCCATGACAGAATTTGGCGAGAATATTAATGAGACTATTAATGAAAACAAGTTTTGTTAATGCGTCATTTGATTGCATAAAGTTATTGCAAAAAAGAATCAAATGTACGAATACTTGTTTTTACCCATTGTGTGTATCATGAGCTTCAAAGTGAACGAACAAATTCAGACATATTTTTCGGCAAAAGAACTTGGAAATGTAAAAGAACGTCATTATGAACAGGTGTCACTCTAACATCTGGCCATCTTACCCCTCGGAAAGGGAGACACTTTCTGCGTACTTTTCTTGCGGACTTCAGGCCACATGGTCTTTAGAAGGATTAAATACGTTAACCTTCCGGTTATCGTGATAAAATGTCTTAGCAGCTGCAAACTTTTAAGGCGACATTTCATGTGATGTTTCACTCTAAATATATTTTATTACAATTCTTAAAAGGAAAGATAAGACGGCTTATAAGTAATTAAACGAAGTCTCTTTTATATCGTCATATTTAAAATGTAAAATGAGTTTTTCTTTTAATGATAAAGAAAGGTATAACGCAACTATTTCTTCACGCTTATGTATTTAATGATATAGAACATAACGTTTCGACCTAGGATGAGGTTTTTTCAAAAATGGTCCACAAATCAAATGCCAATGTTAATTTTTATTTCTTACTTTGTTCTGCGTATTGATTTTTGCTCAAGTCTTGTGACATTATTATTTACCGTATAGATTTTGATAAATATTGTGTTTCTTTTATTAAAAAATTCGTATGCTTTCAAATGCGATACAAAGTAAGATAAATTTTTTAAACAATTTTTAGATTGCATCTACGCTTCAGTCCTGTCCTTATCGACCAATCCAACTAAACCCGAGGCTCACCCTCCCCGGTCTCCTTGACTCACCGTATATGAAAACCAACCCCCTCTCGTTTATTAGAAATCTACCACTACACTACCAATCCCCGATATCTGACGATAATCAATTCTGTAAGCAGTTCTTAATTCATCAAAGATGGTAAAAATATATTTACCTTCAACTAATATTTACTACTGTAAGAACAAGTATATTTTATTTAAAAAATTACAAACAGAATATTATTTTAGAAATATTATTTTGATGATTTTTTCTTACAATGGCGTATAGCGAACTACTGTCACGCGCGGCTCTAAGTTTTTCTTTGTTAAAATAATTGTTTCAAGCTGTTGTATAAAAGTTTTAGGCGAAACTGTTATGAAGCACTTTTATTCTGAATAACTGTTATGAAGGACTTAAAAGTCGAATTACATCAGTTTAAATTAAAGTTCTTGTAGCAGCTGTCATATAGGTTTTATAACTCTGTTATTTTTTAGCTTCTATATAGATTTTCAAATGATCCTGAATCAATATATACAGGGTGTTCGGCCACCCCTGGGAAAAATTTTAATGAGAGATTCTAGAGGCCAAAATAAGACGAAAATCAAGAATACCAATTTGTTGATGGAGGCTTCGTTAAAAAGTTATTAACGTTTAAAGTTCCGCCCGTACTGATTTTTGTTTTGAAAATGCGCAGGATTTCGGGTGTATATCTATTAACCAAAAACGATTGTAATTGACCCTCGCAAAGGAAAATAATTTTTTTAGTGATTTGAAAATTTTTGTTTTTTGCCGAAAAATTTCCCAACACCCTGTCGATTTTTCTTAAAAATTCGTATTTGAGTTTTAGTAATTTTGTTTGACGCTCTATAGAAAAGTTGTCTAATACTTATTTTTTTAGATACCCATGGACTCTGCTTCAGAAAAAAGTTTCATTGAAATATATTCACTATTGCAGGAGTTATGGCTGTTTGAAAATTGGACCATTTTTATGTAGTTTTTCACATTTTATGGGTTCAAGGAACAACTTTTTCAATATTGTTAGAATTTCTACATATTCTCCACTAAAATACGCGTTATTTAAAACAATAAAATTCTCCAATCCGTTCAGAAGTTTTAACGTTTTAAAGATACGCACGAAATTTTGGAGTGACATTTCTGGTCTGAAATTATATTTTTGGTAAGGAATTTTTTTCTCGGAAATGGTTAGGATTTGGAGGGTATGTGTATTGATAAAAAATGATTGTAATCGACCCCCGCAACTAAAAATAATTTTTTCAGAACAATTTGAAAATATTGAATTTTTGTCTCAAAAGTGCGTAAGATTTGGGGGTATGTCTGTTCACCAAAAATGATTGTAATTGACCCCTGCGACCAAAAATAATTTTTCAGGATGATTTGAAATTTTTTAATTTAAGGTTTCAATAACTTTTTAGCGAAGCCTCAATTGAGAAATTGATATTCTTGATTTTCGTCTTATTTTGGCCTCTAGAATCTCCCATTAAAATTTTTCCCAGGGGTGTCCGAACACCCTGTATAGTCTAAATATTTGTCGTTTTACGTTTTCGATGGCTGGATCAGCTTTCGTTAATCTTTTCGAAATATTCGTGAACTGTGATGGTCAGAAAATTCGAGGATTTTCTTTAGGATGCGTAATATATACTTCATGCAATTCATTAAAAGCTTTTGTTTTCAATTTCAAACCGATAGACACTGATATCATCATTACAGTAAACATTTACATCACATATGTATATAGATTCGAAAGTGTTTCAAAGCCTGTATACAACGTAAAAAATAACGGTTATTGAATCTATGTATGTATATGAGAGCTGATGCAAAAATTTTAACTTACATCGATATAATTCAAAATTCAGGTTCTCAAAATAAAAGTTCTTCATAACTGTTTTAACAATCTAGACCTATATTATAATAATTTATAAGTCCTGACTGTAGCATATATTAATGGCTCATTGACAATCATTGGAATCGCTATGCGATCTGTCTTATGCCAAAAGGGGTACAGGACAATTTCCTAACAATACACGAACTGCATATATTTGGTGCTCATTATATTACTAGAAATAACATACTGTTGGTATTTGTAATTTCTCCTCAGGTTTATTTTGTTTTAAAATATCAAGATATTTAATCTTGCCCGTTGTTACTCTTACGCGGTCAATCGATATGAAATTTGAAGTGGAGGTGAATGCCAAATATAAAAGGAAATTAAGAAATTAAATGATCTGCAAGATATTAATGAAAAAATGTTGGAAATTATAAATGCTGTTAACTAAATATATACTTATGCACGCAACATCTTCGTTGTGGAGTAGTTTCGCGTCGAGCAGGAACTTGATGGACGACGATATAGTTTTTGAGTCTACCAACGAGCAAATTTATATGGCGTTCGGCACAAAATGGGCTTTTATGTCAAATTTTTATTTTATTGGCCGGAAAATATTAGTTTGCAATATACTTTTCTTAATTTGTATAGTATCGAAATGAAAAGTAAGCAAATCTACCCTATAATATCTCGGAAATTATTAATTTCCCGAAGCTTAATACCTATTTCCCTTCACATCTAATCCCTCTAAATTTCATGTCGATCAACCAGAGGTACTATTCGAAAGAAACCCCCTATGATTATTTCTTGTAACTTTGGATCAATATTAGTGTTACGTACTTTATGATTATAGACTATGTCAGACAAAGAAAAGAAACGTTTTCATGAAATGGCTGAAAAGGATAAGAAGAGATATGATACAGAAATGCAAAACTATACACCACCGAAAGGCGAAAGTAAAGGCAGAGGCAAGAAACGTAAACACATCAAAGATCATAATGCTCCCAAAAGATCTTTGTAAGTAAACATATTAGAATTAAATATTCCTAATAATATGATGAAATATAAGATCTTCAAATAATGTATAATTACTTTTAAATTTTGTGTTCCCTTAAATTTATGAAGAAATAATGTGGGGTAATTTATATTTTATTTCGTTTTTTAGATCTGCCTTCTTTTGGTTCTGCAATGATGAACGCGGAAAAGTGAAGATGCTAAATCCCGAGTTCGGTGTAGGCGATATTGCCAAGGAACTTGGTAAGAAATGGTCAGATGCAGATCCTGAAACCAAATCGAAATATGAGGCTATGGCAGAACAAGACAAAGCTCGATATGAAAGGGTATGTATCCATAAATATCACTTTTTATTACTTTGTTCATTTTTCTTTTAAAGTTGTATGATTATAAACTATCAAGTATCAAATTTAAATGAAATTAATTATACTAAAAGTTATTGCAGTGGTTTAATGTTTGTATAAAATCGTATGTGTTAATTATTTTGTATATTACCTAGGAAATGACTGCGTACAAAAAGAAAATGAAAGATGGTGCACCTGTAGTAGCAAATCCAGTGAGTACCATAAAAAGCGACAGTGAAGAAGAATATAAAGAAGATGATGAATAGCGGATACACTACAAAATTTCATCTATCACCCCGTGTCCTTGATCCTGAAAGCATACCTCACCTACTGTACGTACCATTGACCTTAGCGTGAGCGTACTTACACCACTAGGAAAACAAATAACTAATCACCAGTCCCCGATTATTTACAATAATAATTAAAATACCCGCGATTATAATAATTATTTTAAAATTGTATGTATGTGAGACGTGCGAGAGAAGACCGGAATGAGTGACATTTGTATTTTAACATATTGATAGTATCATGTAAAATGGCGTAGGATAGCAGAATGGAAAGATATGGTGCCCACTTTCTATCAGGTGGAAGGCGCAGGGGCTCAATCATTGTTGATATTGTCTCCAGACTATGTTAAAAGCTAACGTAGTTACAAATCGTAAAACAGGATACGGCGGCTCCATAGTTGGGCGGTATCAGTCGATATAGTTTGATATTTATCAGTTCAGTTCATTCGTTGCCAGTTGTAAGAAGACTTATTGTATATCTTTGTACAGAACATTTCTTTAAATCAAATCTGTCGCAGGTGGGGGCATGGGGCTGCTTTGTATGAATGTAATTGATTTAAGTACGTGTCGTATAGTTGTAAGTATTAGGATAAGTATATTTTAATGCAACTTCGATTCTACATCTGCGTCAACATGTGATAGTTTCCACTAACAATGTATTCTAAACCAGGAGATTGAGCCTTATAGCTTATAAGTAATTGGAATCTAAACAAATATCTAATTCACAACTTTTCTAAATCAAAAAATTGGGATGATAGAACTCAGCCATGGAGCAGTGGTATTTTGACGTCCTACAACCATATATAAAACAAAATAATTTCTATTCATAAGAAAACAGGATCGAAACCATCCGATTTGTTTTAAAAAATTGATGCAAATTTTGCTTTTATGTTGTTTTAAGAACTATTATAATCTCAATGTCTTATAATTATATAAAGTACTGACTTTTTGTTCTTATCGAAATCAATGGACAGTCGTTAAAGACAAACCAAACTAGAATTGTATTTTGAGTTTTAGCTGATTCAAGTAGTCCCTGCCCTTACCATCGTCATCCTCCCTCTCATGTTCATTTTTCCAATAAAGGGAAATACGTTAAATCCTTTCAGAATCATGTGATTCCGTTCATTGTTTAAGAAAGTAAGATAGGGCGTGTCTTGTATTGCCTCGAGTCATCTGGTGTACAGCAGGCTGTATTATAATAAATTATTATGGTTTCTTGTAATATTAACATTCCTAGATCCTAGTATGTACAGATTTTAATCATTGAGATTAGAGCCAACTGTGTAAGAAGCATACCAAAAAACAGGCTAGGTAATGCAGATGTGAATTTCGTGGCCAAGATTGGTATGCAAAACGAATATACAAGAGGCTTTGTTACAGTCAGACTGACTTGCACCTTGATTTGGCTCAGCAGGTAACCACTACTTTTTGACATAAAGCTTTTCATCTCCCCTGCACATTGTCATGTAACGGATAATTGTATGATTATATAAGCAAAAACCTGTTTTAGAGGGAGCTAGAGGACGAATACTGTAAAATATGAAATTGTAATATTTTAATACTGATTTGCAGATGTGCATAATTTTAACATAGCTGGTTAAAATGAATTGTACTGATACGAAGGTATCCATTCGATGGAGATAAATAATAAAAACGGATATTGAAAATTACGACAGAATTTTCTGTATTATGATAGAGGAATTATAACAGTTATAAAAGAAATGTTTGTTTTGTATATCTCTTAGGATAAATAAACTTTTCAAAAAATTATGTGAATATGTTTCTGGTACTGCTCCAAACCTGTTTTTAAGCATTTCATATGCCCAAAATATTTGATTCTCAAAGCAGTACTAGACTTAGAGTACTAAAACTTATAATATTTGTATAAAAGTAAGTATATACTATATGTGCATTTGTTTATGACATGAAGTATCATTTTACACACTGCTTTCTTATAATATGGAGGATAATTTCTGCATCTTACACATTTATACTGGTGCTAATCACGTGCGAATTAGCAATTAACCCGAAACTGGAAGTAATGTGTTAACTTGTTTCATGTTATACAGATTACATGCTTCAGCGCAAACGGACATTACTGTACTTTTTTATATGTATTTCATACGTTCAAGCAGTTTTCTATTATTTTATAAGTATCACCGTAGGTTATAAATGTACCATTGACATAGTAGTCTTACCAATAAATCAGTAATTGTTACTCTTAATATAAATTTTTTAATTCGTGTATCTATTGAAACAATTCATTATCTCATAATTACAACTTATGATTTATGTGCATAACACATTCATACATGTAACAAATAATCATTTGTCTTATAATTCCATTGTAATAAACTAACAAACTAAATATATAAACAAGATTTATTGTTGCATTTAGTTGAAATTTAGAGCAATATTTTTACAATTAACACTCTTTTTAAGGCACCAATTATTTTTGCTTTTATTGCAAATTCATGCTAAGAAAACAACATAAGAAAAGGAATATAAGGCATTAAACATTTTTTGCATAATATGAGGTATATATCATTTTTAATATAATACATTAACAACACAAACTAAATAAAAAAAATGACTACAGGAATTACAGTTAAAATAATTATGAAAGTCAATAAAGTACTGACTGTACAATTATTTTATTTAATGTTTAAAGAATTATTTTCAATGATTAATTGTAATAAGCACAGTAAATAGTTTAAATTGTGAGAAAACTCCATTATTTGTTGGTTTTGTTTTCATTCAAAAAGATAGCTTAATACAACATATGGTATATATATATACATACGTGTATTCATATGTATCCTCTTCAACAAACAAGGAGCACACTATATTAACATAATTTTTAAAAATTGCTTAATAAGAATAACAAATCATTTTATTATACTTTAGTATATTTATTACGAAAATAGATCTTATTTTGGAATATTACAAAATAATATAATTATATGATATAAAACATATAAAAGAGTATAAAAATAATAATCTGAGGTAGAAGTAAATGTTTATAATGAACAGTATTTGACATTGTATCTAATACAAAAACAATCATACTTAATGATCAAATCCTTTATCCCAGTTATCAGCTACACTCAAACAAGGAAAATATTGGAACAACTTACATTTGTAACATTCAACTAATGAAAGAAATATGCATGTTAAATTGATGCATTTGCTATAATATGATACATACTACAAAAAGAGATGGGTTCTAAGATTATATGTATAATGAATTAGAAAATAATTTAACAATATATACCATTTTTATAACACATTTATTATAAACACATATCAAAAGTGGCTGATAAAAGTATTTAATCTCTTATGACTAAGATTTCCAAAGATCACAGAATGTAAACAAACATTGCTCAGTTTACTGATAGTACAAGGAAAACAATGTTCAAACTTTCTGTCAGAATGTTCATTATTAATAATATAACAAAATGAATTACAAAAAATCCAAAACAAATCAGTAAAAGAATTAATAGTGATCTAATATTCTAGTGCACTAATTTTGGGTCACTCTGTATTTCTCAAGGTATTATAAATCAGTTATTAAATATTTTAGTAGAAAATTTTGATATCAAAACATGTGGTAGATATTAAATAGTATCAAATATTATCTTGTATGAACAGTTCAAGGACTTGGCATTGTCATTAACTGGAGAAAACAACATTGGAGCTGTGCTATTATATTGTCGCGGTGATGATCATTACCGTTTATGTTATCAACCTTGAGTTAAATAAACAGGCAAAGTAAATATGTATAATCTAAATATAAATAGTCTATTGTTGACTAAAAATTGATATGTAATATGAAAACTGTTATTAGCCAATTACATTTACAAAAATCAACAAAAGTACATAGTGTGTTAAATTTTTGTTGCAAAATGTATATATACATGTTAATTAAAATTGTAGCTATTACTATGCGATAAACCAACATTCTGAGGTATGTCATTTATAAGTTTACATATTATTATGTTATTTGAACAGACAGATTTTTTATATTAAAATTTGTTAAATATTTTAGATAAAAATGCATGTATATGAATCAATATTGGATAAATTTTATTCCGTAGTTCCATTTGCTTGGTCGTCGGTTTAATGAATCGATAATGTATCTAAAATTTTTATTCGTTGTTCGCGAATAAAGTTTGCCCACATCTGATCTGAATTCATTGGTCTTAAAAAGTTAATAAGTATAAATAAAGATATTAAAAAATAATTGTAACATTGTTATCTAATTTGTTAGCATATCTATTTTAAATTAATATAATAAAGTAAGAAAGTACAAGTTGAATGAAAGTTTAAAATTTGAAAGTAACGTTCAGAGAACGAGGCATAAACTTCAGGACAAAAGAAATTCGCTCTTAGTACCATCTATCGACGCGAACGGTTAATTGCAACATTGACCGGGTTCAGAAATTCATAGTTTCGAAAAATATAGTTGTCTTTTTGTTTGCGTTCAGTATTAACGGTTGGAACTCGGAAGAAGGATTTGTATTTGAATATTAAATGTAACGGAGTCAAGGGCTACTGAAAATTGACCATTTGGTTGTGTAGACAATTCTAATAAATTGAGTTTACGATTTTTCAAAGTACGTTGAATGTCCTGTCAAAAGTGATTCTCATATATCTTCGTTTTGTAAGGTAGGTTTAGATTTTTAATGACGAACGCTTTCGACTATTATGTTCTGATGTCCTAAATCTGTTGTTACCGTCAAGCAGAAATTGTTGTATTTTCTTTTGTGTTCTATTAATTACGATCTGCAATAATGTATTAATATTTGTTGAAGCACGTAGAAAATATGCAAACCGTTGATATTGGAATACGTCGGCTTATAACGAATTTATTTACAAGTAATACTATTCAGTTATAATTTTAACTGAATTATAAAATGAGTTTTTTTATTGTATGTAATTCTAGTTACTTAAATAAAATAACAATTTCTAGCTTCTCATTTAATGTACTAATTACAAAGTTTGGAAACAGCATTTAGTATTTGCTCATTTTTTCTTTATTAAACTCTTTTCTTATGTTTAAACATGATAGACGTTTATGAAAAGTATTAATAAGAATTGCAACTATCAATCAAACATGTAAAATAAATTAAACTACCTATCCGTCAACTGTTACTTAATTTATAATGTAAAAATATAATATTACCTATATTTCTATGTAATTGCTTGTACTACGTGTATTTAGCATAATAATTATTTAATATCTGTTAATGTAATATAATTAATATTAAGTATGTGGTTTTGTTAAAGTAATATTTTATCTAAGATATTAATATTCTAGACACAATATAAGGAAGTTTAAAACCCCATAGGTTCTAAAATATGGAACAAAATACAGAGTATATTAAATTACCGTTAGAAGAACGATGTGTGCATAAGGTAATATGTTTTTCAACATAGTTTTTTACTTTTCTTTCTATTCTAATTATATTTTCATTTATTTTTAATAAATGAATTTTATAAAATGATTAATGTTATCGCAGTTATGGAGAGCACGTTTACATGGTTATGAAGAATGCGTAAACACATTCCAATGTATTGACGATGAAAAGTCTCCTGAGTGGAATAAGTATCTAGGATTTATTAAAAAGTTTGTAGTAGATAGCAATGCTGCAGCACAAGAAAAAGGATTGGAGGCAGCATTAGCTTTTGTTGAAAATGCTGCGGTAGCAGGAAAGTATGTTTCCTGTAGAAAAATTGATGCATTGTCTAGTATTACTTTTATGTTAACATAACTTATCAATGTGCATTTTTTTTAACGATGAATAATTTTAAGGTTTTTGATTAGAATTGCTTATATGTAATTTTGTAGGACTGTTGGCGAAGTTATGAATGGAATAGTCTCTAAATGTATTGCTGCTCCTAAAGCTAAGACAAAAGAGTTAGCAGTGCAAATAACATTAATGTACATAGAAATTGAAAAACATGAAGCTGTTCAAGAAGAGTTATTAAAGGGAACGGATGCAAAAAATCCAAAAATTGTTGCAGCATGTATTTCCACTCTAACATTGGCTTTAAGGTGATTATATGTTATTTGTATCATTTACTAGTACAAATGAAATGGAATATAAAAAGAAAATTATTTTATATTTATTGTATAATATTTTATTGTTATTTTGTTCGAATGTTACAGACACTTTGGTCCTAAAGTAATTAATATAAAGCCTTTGATAAAAAAGATGCCTAGTTTTCTTGAAGATAGGGACAAAACGGTCAGAGATAGTGGCAAATTCATGGTTATTGAAATTTATAGGTATTCTTTTGACATTAAGTATTTTTAAACTGTGTCCTATGACAATACAAATATATATTTTGTGTAATTTTGTCTGAAATGTTCAGGTGGATAGGTGCTCCTTTAAAACAACAATTAAATACACTAAAACCAGTACAAATCACAGAATTGGAAGTAGAGTTCAATAATTTGAAAGAAGAGAAAGTTATACCGAATCGATTTTTGAAATCTCATAAACCAAAAGCAATATGTATTGTAGATTCAATGAGTGAGAATGGTGAAGGTATATATATAAAAAATTATCTGTCATTATTTTTGTATTTCTTTTTGTAACAAAACACACTTTGTCATTAAGATGGTAAAGATGATTGCGATGGCAGCCCTATTCCAGAAATTGATCCTTACGAATTATTAGAGCCTGTTGATATTCTTTCTAAACTTCCAAAAGATTTTTATGACAAAATTGAAGCTAAAAAATGGCAAGAGCGAAAGGAAGCTTTAGAAGCTTTGGAGATTCTAGTAAAAAATCCTAAGCTTGAGAATGGTGATTATGGTGACGTGGTGAGAGCTTTGAAAAAGGTATGTATTACATTTACTATATAAAATTTATTATTATTATATTTTTTAAATGTTATGAACAGGTTATATCCAAAGATACTAACGTACTAGTTGTTGCACTGGCAGGGAAATGTCTAGCTGGACTAGCTATAGGTCTTAAAAAACGATTTCAACCTTATGCAACAGCTTGTCTATCGTCAATTTTAGAAAAGTTTCGCGAAAAGAAACAAAATGTTGTTCAAGCACTTAAAGAAGCTGCAGATGCTATTTTTCTTAGTGTAAGTAATTTTCTTAATATGTAATTATTACAAAGTGTACATTAAAAATGTTATATTATCTCTATTCTTAGTAAAAATTTAATTTCAATTAAACATTTAAATAATACAGTAGATACTTTTTAAATGCAGATACAAATACACTTGCAAACATATGTTGAAATAGTATTATATATTTTGTTTATATTAGGTTACTATTGACATTATATTAGAAGACACACTTGCTGCATTAGAGAATAAAAATCCTGCAGTTAAAGCAGAAACAGCTGCTTATTTATCAAGATGCTTTTCTCGCACACCACCACAAAGTTTGAACAAAAAGTTGTTAAAAGCATATACCGGTGTACTTTTAAAAACTTTAAACGAACCAGGTATATTTTGAAATTGATTTTCGTAGAATCTCTTATAATGTACAAAATATATTAAAGAGTGAATTTTATTCTAGATCCAACTGTTCGAGATAATTCTGCAGAGGCTATTGGCACAGCAATGAAATTAATTGGTGAAAAAGCTATGATGCCATTTCTTACTGATATTGATAATTTGAAAATGACAAAGGTACTTTACAATTGTATTTAGTTTTTAATTCTGTAAACAGAAATTGAATTTTTCGTATCGTATACATGATTTTACTTGTACTAATTTTTTATTAGATAAAAGAATGTGCAGAAAAAGCTGTAATACACGTTAAAGTTCCTAGTGCGCCAAAAGTGACTGCGGAAAGACCAAACACAGCACCAAGTAAAATTGAATCAACACAAAAACCTAAAGAGTTAGAAACAAAAACTCTAAAGAGACCTAATACTAGCACAGTTAAAAAACCAGCTAAGAAACCATCTGCTTCGTCTTTGACAAATTTAGGTAGATATTGAAGTTGAATGTGGAAAGCAAAAGTAATATAATGATTGTAATAAATGTCATTTAATTTTTGGTATTTATTGTAGCTGTTTCAAAAAAGCCATCTGTTACAAAACCACAAACAGAGAAAAATTATAGTGTTGAGGAAATAGAAGAAATGGCAGTGCAATTCTTACCACCCGACATTCTATCAGGTCTTGTCGATAGTAATTGGAAGAATCGTTTAACAGCAGTTGAACAACTTCTAGAGGTAATGGAATGTGTTTTTACTTAATTTTTATTTCTGTCTTTAATATAGCAAATATAGTGAAATAAATGTGATAATTTTATTTTTCTAGTCTGTAAAACAAATGGATCCAGCAGAAGGATTTACGCAAGTTATTGTACGGACCTTAGCAAGAAAGCCAGGTTTTAAAGACACAAATTTCCAAGTTCTCAAATTACGATTGGAAATAGTAAAATTCTTGGCAGAAAATTTTCCATTTTCAACGTAAATATTTTGTGTGCTTGATATTTCGTTTTATGATAGAATAAACAATTTATTCATTTATTTTATTAACTGATTTCCTAACAGCACTGTTTGCGAATATTGCCTTATGGACATAACTGAGAAATTAGGGGATGCTAAAAATAGTACAGTTGCTGGAGAAACTCTTTTAGCAATAGCAGAGGCAACAAGTTTTGAACATATGGCTGATGAAATAATGGCGTTTGCCTTTAATCAAAAGAATCCTAAAGTTCAACAAGAAACATTAACATTATTGTGTAAGGGTCTTACAGAATTTGGTTGTGTGTAAGTAATAGAATCATTTTATGCAACATTTACTAATGATTATGTCAAGCAGTAATTATATTGTACACATATATGTTTTAGTATCAATGTCAAATCTCTAATGGAAAATATAAAAAAAGCAGTTGCAGCAACAAATCCTGGTGTACGTACTGCAGCCATTACGTTATTAGGAACATTATATTTATATATGGGTAAACCATTGCTTGTATTTTTTGAGAATGAGAAACCTGCTTTACGTCAACAAATTGAACAAGAATGCGAAAAGGTAATTTTTCGCTATTATAGTAAATTATTATTTACAAATGTGCCATCATAATTATACTCTATTCATCATATATCCCCCTTGATACAACTAAATTTTCATAAAAAGTATAAATAAATAATTTCTTTCTGATGACATTTGTTTTGGAGATTTCTAAGAATATGTATACCTTTTTTTTGTTGAAATTTTTGGTGAAAGCGATTGCTGTATGAATACTTTCTATACTCACTGTAATTAGTTAAGGAGACAAAGTTAAGTGGTTTATGTTGTATATTTCTTTATATAAATTACAATAGTAACAATAACAAGTATAAATATTAACAAATTATTATTGTTTAGCATAACGGTGAAACTCCTCCAATAGCAGTTCGTGGAGTAAAAAACAAAAAGGATAAAATAAGTGATGACGATGATGATGTTGAAATAGATAAGAAATCTAATGCCAATGAGCTTGACATTAATAATCTCATTCCACGGATTGATGTCAGTAATCAAATTTCAGAGAGTCTTCTTAATGAATTATCTGACAAAAATTGGAAAGTAAATATGTTATTATTTGTAATATTAATAAGATAGAACATTTTTTTGTCAAAAGAAAATAAATTAAATTTTTTGCAACATTAGGTGCGAAATGAGGGTTTACAAAAAATAAGTGCTATTATCTCAGAGGCAAAATTCATAAAAGGCTCTATTGGCGATTTACCTCAAGGATTAGCCTTACGATTGGTTGACAGTAATAGCAAAATAGCACAGTCGACTCTAGGCATATGTCAGGTATTGGCTATTGCTATGGGTCCACCAGCAAAACAACATATTCGAGTCCTTTTTCCTGGTTTCATACAATGTTTGGGTGATAGTAAAAACTGGATTAGAACAGCAGCAATCTCGTGTATAAACACATGGGGAGATCAATGCGGTTACAAAGAATTTTTTGACGGAGAAATAATAGGAGATGCTCTAAAATCTGGATCACCGGTACTTAGGGCCGAAGTTTGGAATTGGTTAGCACAAAAATTACCGCTGATTCCTGTAAAACAGATATCGAAAGAAGAACTTCTCGTATGTCTTCCATATTTGTACAGTAATTTAGAAGATCGTAATTCTGATGTTCGGAAAAATGCTCAGGAAGCAGTATTGGGTTTTATGATTCATCTGTCTTACGAAGCGATGGCTAGGAACACGGAAAAACTAAAACCTGGATCGAGAACAGTAGTACTTGCTGCATTGGATAAATCTCGGCCAAATTTACCTATTAAACCTTTACCGAAAAAACAATCACCAGGAGAAAGTAGTCAAAAAGTTGTTAAGAGTGCTGGAGCTTTGAAAGCATCGAAAGCCGTAGTTAAGACTAAACAGAATCAAGTATCATCAAAACCTGGTAGTGCTCGTAAAAAAGACGACGATGTCGATACAAGTCCTTTATTGGCTATTAATAATCTCAAACACCAAAGGGTGATCGATGAGCAAAAATTGAAAGTCCTGAAATGGAACTTTACTACACCCAGAGAAGAATTTGTTGAACTTTTGAAGGAACTTATGACTGCTGCAAATGTAAATAAAACTTTAATAGCAAATATGTTTCATTCAGACTTTCGATACCATCTTAAAGCTATTGAAGCATTAACTGAGGTAGATATTTAAAATATTTTTATTAATATTTTTTAGGAAACATTAACATATTGCCAACCAATTGGGAAAATATCCCTTTTTGTGCCATACCGCATTTTACGCTTACAAATATATACACTGTGTTAAGTGTATATTTTCTCTGTAATTTGCAACAAAGTGAATTTGATTTGTATAAAGGTGACTATGATCTACAAAAGGGTTAATTTGCAGAGCAAAATCACCCTACATATTTAAAATCACTTATGCTGCTAATCTTCTGTAGAGTTTAGCTAGTTCGAACCATAATTAAGTACATTTTATAATAATTCGTAATTATAGAAATAATTTTTACTAACATTAATAAAATTACACAGAAAATAATCTCATTTTATAACTTTATATGACTATAATGAAATATTACTGAACATTTTTATAACCAATAGGAACTAATTATTATATGATATTTCATGAAATTTTGTCCATAATTAGTTCCTCAAAGACAAGATGAATAGTATTACAAAAATTTCATGTTATTAATTCTCATATTTTAGCAGTTATAGAAGTTTAAGTAAAGCCATGTTTTTGCACACAGTTTTCAAAATATGTGTGGTTGGCAAAGTGTTAACACTATATCGTAATATTATTACAGGATACAAGTTTAATAATTCTACAAATTTTAGGATCTGCCTGATAATAATAAAGCATTAGTGTCTAATTTGGACCTTATTCTCAAATGGCTGACGCTAAGATTTTTTGACACTAACCCTTCTGTATTATTGAAAGGTTTAGAGTATTTGCGAATGGTATTCAATCTGTTGATAGAAGATCAATATCATATGTTAGAGAACGAAGCAGCATCGTTTATTCCATATCTCATTATCAAAGTAAATCTTCTATTCTTCTTCTTTTATAATGTAACATATTTATTAACATATAATTTGTATGTAATAAACTTTTTCATAGATTGGCGATCCAAAAGATGCTGTGCGTAACGGAGTTCGGGCTTTATTTAAACAAATAGCATTGGTGTATCCAGTAAGCAAATTATTTTTGTATGTGATGGAAGGTTTAAAATCTAAAAATGCTAGACAAAGAACAGGTACATAATATAAATAAAAATAAAGGGTAGAAAATGTAATTGAGCAGTATATAATTATTTAATTTTCTTCTTTGCTTTTAGAATGCCTAGACCAGTTAGGGTCTCTTATAGAAAATTATGGATTGTCCGTGTGTCAACCATCTGCGTCTGTAGCATTAAAAGAAATAGCAAAACAAATAGCAGATCGTGATAATTCTGTTCGAAATGCTGCTTTAAACTGTATCGTTCAAGCATATTTTCTTCAAGGAGAACGAGTGTATAAACTTATTGGTCAGGTAATAATTTCATAAGAGTTACATTCAGTCAAAAGTATTACAAGTTTTTTGGAAATTGGTTCATGGGTGTTTCAGATATCTGAAAAAGATCAGTCATTATTAGATGAGCGTATAAAGAGGGCTGCTAAAAATCGTCCAACAAAGTCAGCTTCAACTAACAGACTTTCGGCCCCTTCAAGTGCAAACCCAATTCCTTCCAACGAAGATGTTAAGGCAGAATCTGAAGAAGAAAATGAAGAAATATCTGAGCCACAATCTACTCCACCACCGCAACCACCACCACAACAGAATGAACTGTGTGTATTATATAAAGTATACATTCTTTTATTCCTTTCATTTAATTTTTGCATTGTCTTCATTCTCATAAGCAATTTTATTCAAGTCCATAAGAGTGGACTTTTCATTATCTTGAGATTTCAAAAAACACAATGATTATATTCATTTATATGAACATAAAAGCGTTTATTAACACTTACATCACATAGAATCGCGGATAAACGCGATTATTGTTTCATATAGTCACATACTGACACACAAAAACACGATTATTGTCACCTGTGATCATATTTAAACACAGGTAGATTAATATATTTATATTTTGATATCTTTTTATATCATTAGTGTCAAATGATAATTTGAAATAAATTTCAACTTTTAGACATTCTCCAACATTGTCGCAGTCAAAAGTAACAGGTCCATTTGGGCTTGACATGGATTTTTTGAAAAGAATCGAATTAGAAGCACCTGTAAAGTATAGCAATCCTGTTCTTACAGAGGTTAATTTAGATGATCTGTTTGAAGCTCCGAATGCGTTAAATACACCCAAATCACCGTAAGTAATAATTGTATTTCTCTGTTATTGCAATTGTTTGGATTCGACATTAAAAAAAGGAATAGAATTATAATTTATGATCTTCAGTTATTTCATTTTTATTTATTTTCTTACTATTTTATAATGTTAATGTTACAGTTTAAAAATCTAATATTGGAATAATATGGTGCATATTTCAGGGTGATTTCGATTTTTCCTCCGAAATTGTTAGTGTCAAAGTCCGCATCAGCAACACAACAATTAGGTACAGTTAACGCTAGTAAAGATGATAGTCTTGAACGCAAAATTCTTGCAATGTCTAGTTTGGACTTATCTGTTGCAATACAAGCGATGAACAGCATAGACAACGTTTGTATTTATAATATATGTTTTATTGTTTGTTGAATTTACTTACACGTACGCATATAATCTGAAATTATTTTGCAGTTGATAAAATCTCATCAAGTTTTAAGTTTGCAGTCAAAAGAAGATCAGTTTATTGGCTCGATAAACATGCAATTAAAATTTTTACAAACGTATCCTTTACAACAAGAGGGTACAGATATCTCTAAAGGTTTTAGAAACACATTTATGGTTATACTAGCGGTAAGAATCATTACATAAGTACAGTTTTGTAACATAGTTACGCGTAGAATAATGTACGATAGGTACATTGTATTTATTATGAACTTATTTATAGTTCTATGATACTGGAGTTCTTGGAAAGAATGTTCCATTGATACACTTAAAAGAACTTGTGGATCAAATGATTAGTTTGTTGGCTGAGAACAAATTAAATCATCTACATCAGGCAGAAGTGTATTATCGCGTGATCAATAGTATTGTTTGCAAAATAATAGACAATTCAAATCATACTACTATTATATGGTAAAATTCTAAAATTTCGTATCTTCTATTGATATTGAGATTAATGCATATTTAGTAACATTTTCAATTGAATTTAACTTTATTTATATCGTTCTAATCTTTAGTGCATTAATAAAGTTACTTCATGGATGTGCTGAATCAACTGCACCTTCCAAGTACGAAGAATTAGTTATGAAATGTTTATGGAAAATAGTAAAGACAATTCCTAATTGGGCTGCAGATTTAAATTATGATACAATTCTTTTAGAAGTACACCGTTTCCTTAAAGTATGCTATCCATTATACATTATATACAGGGAATCCCATGTAATTAGGGAAAGCTACATCTCTAAAACGGTTAGATATACAAAATAATATCAAGGCAAAATTAAATGACATCGAATGATGCACAAACTGAATGGAATTTTATTCATTTTTATACATTGATCTATCTAGGAAATTATTTAGTTTTGCCTTGTAACATTATTTTGTATCTCTATTCGTTTTAGAGATGTAGCTTTTTCAGTTACGTGTGATATCCTGTATGTATATATATATTATATAAACATTATTTGTAATGAACACGATATTTATGAATTTACGTTATGTAGGATTATCCAACTGTGTGGTGGAAAAAACAAGAGTCTGATACTCCATTGAGGACAATTAAAACAATTCTTCACAGTATGACTCGCGTGAAAGGTAGTACAATACTCAGTCATCTAACACGAATAAATAACACAAAAGAATCAGAATTGCATTCTTATCTCATAAGGCTAATTGCGGTTAGTTTGCTTAAATATTTATATTATATTAATTGTTTTAACAAAAAAGTACGTACAAATTTTAATTAATTATAAGAATATTTAACAGACTTTTAAGCTAGACGAAATTAATACCAATCCGAGGACAACAGTAAAATCCAGTAATAGTGGTAAAACTCAAGAACATTTGTCAAAGTTTACTCATCAACAATTGTCCGAAATATTTAAAAAGATTGGATCTAAAGAACACACGCGAGAGGTATGTAACATTATGAATATATGTATAATAATTTTAGATGTTTAATTTTCTGTTTTTTTACGATGCAGCGATTACATTATGCTTTTTATATAGGGTTTAATGCAGCTATATGATTTTAAACTTCAATATCCTGAAGCGGATGTACAACCTTTCCTGGTAAAGTCTCACCAATTCTTTCAAGACTTTATAGAACAAGGATTAAGAGACATTGATCAAGCACGAAAAAATCAAAATCTTATACCTCAAACCAATAATCAATACTCAACAGGTACACGATTCAGATGAAGTATTGAAATGAAAGTATTGTCGGTTTTACACAATTCATATTCTATCTGTATTACAGATACAGCTGAGCCTGTTGATTCCGATGAAAAATGCCTAATGGATCCATTACATAGGCTCGAAAAACTTCGAGCAACTGAAGCACAATGTAGAACAACTACCAGTCAGCCGAGTCCAACATGAATTAACTTTTCTTAATATTAATTAGGTAACGATAAAACGAATGTGTACATGTAAGCTCTTTGCAGACAGAAATTTTTAAGTACAAATGGTAAATGGGACAGTACGATTTTAGAGAAAATTTCAGAAAATTGTCACGCAACCAAGAGTTACATACGTATTAAGGCTAATATTTCAATTATTATTTCATTTAAATTTTCATATAAATGTGTTGATCATAAATATTTGACACACTTGTTGTTCACACAAACTAATAAATTACATCTTTCAGGATTGCAGTTCTTAAACTGAATCAAGAACCAATAACACATAAACATGATATTAAATAAATAGGACATAGGTCACAAAAAGTAATGTACGTAAGGTTATACTGTTCAGTGCAACATTAACTGTAGCATTTATGTTCAATTTTGTTAGTAGTTACATATAGGTTATGCTGCTACTAATTATATAAAGTTTATGTGTTATAAAACGTAATTACGAACGTGTTATATTACTCATATTTATGGCTATTCAAAAATTGTAATTAAGCTATAACAAGCTAGTATTATGCTGTCTCTTTAGACTAACTTTATTACTAATTTTTACTTCATTACTTTCTTAAAATTAAATCGTGCGATCTTTATTATATACTATAATCTCATTTTTGCGTTAAATCTATATTTATAAACAAAAAAAAATATTACATCAATATTGTTATTTAATTAATTAAAATTTAATCGTATTATGAAAAACATGTTTCTCCGTACTTGTAATCCTGGTATACGACTATAGATTTAATAAGTTGATTTTTCGTGATAAAATGATTTAGTGTTAGACGGATATAACAATAGTAATTTAATATGAATGTTTTTAAGATTTTTGGAAAAATCTTAACGTAGTGTAAATAGATTGTTTATATATTCTAACATTCAAATATTCAATAAATTATGTCTTACAATACTACTGATCTGCTATTTTGCTACGTTATAAAGGATTAATATTTTACGTTATAAAGAATCAACTTTTTGTTCAATTACTTACTGCTTAATCCTTTCCACTTGTATATCGCCATACTGGCAACATTATACGTTTAAAATTTTATTTTATTATTATATATATATTTACATTAGTAGTTCATTCTAGAGACCCTTGTTACAATGTTTTCTTTTAGAGTCTTCTTAAATGTGTATGTATATTATAAAATAAAATAAATAAATAGATAAATTCTCAAATATAAATACGAGTGCAAAGGGTTAATTTTCGGTACATTTCATTGAGTTGTATCGTAGCTTGTATTGCTATTGATATTTTAGTTGCATCGATATTCAAGTACCATTATACGTATCGACACTTTCGATCTGTATTACCTATACCCAGTGTTACTGTGCTCCGCTAACTTGAAGTCCTACGGGATGACACAGGGACAAGAGGAGTCGGACCACCCATTTATCTATCTCGCTCCCTTGCTCTCAAGCAGTCCACATATGTATGTAACTGCTGCGACGAATAGCGAACTAGAGTTCTATAGTAGTGGGAATACATGTATCCTTTCGACTTTTCTCGTATTCCTGCCACGGGACTTCAAGTCAGCGGAGTACAGTACTGGATGCATCGAGAAGTCCTTATTCTATTTTCGCACACTACTACAAGCATACGTATATACATATATTATTAATACGATTGAGTCTAAATAACTGAATAAATTTAAATGAAACTTTACATTTAAGTTTTATGTTCTCATTTCAAGTTCCGAATAGATTTTCGATAATAATGATTATATAAGCTCGTCATAGGAATAGTAAACGATTTTATTTTTTTTTCAATAGTTAAAATATGATCAGTATGCTGTAAGCTTTCGGTTTTTCTGCTGAATGCTTGGCAATGAAAATGGCAGGTGATTATGACAACCTGGACCACACCAAATCTTATTTTGTTGTAACCTAAAACCAAATATTTTATATTAAATCATAAAATTATCATAAAAACATATTACTCATCAATTAAATTTATTTATAAGACGTGCTATCAAGATTTCGAAGCATGTTTTTATTTAATAGCGTTAGAAATGTGTAAAACATTCCTTATATTTATATCAATCAAAAATCAAAATCATAGTACATATTTTTCATGCTTTTTATTTACATTCTCCTCTATCTCTCCCATTCATTTCTTAATTTTTATATATTCTAATATTTTATAATCTATTATAATTGCTTCAAACATTTTTCGAATCTAATTAATATCTAATTAAGTTTTACAACAATTTGCCAACACATTTTTTCATATAATTATGTAATTAGTAATAAACTGTTACTGGAAACGATAATTATTTAAATCATCACGCTAAAAATTTTGAAATACGTGGTGCCATCTATGAATTGGGATTCGAATTATTAAAAAATAACAGTATCATAGAATAGGAAAGGAGGTCGATGGCGTTAGAAAGAGAGCAATCCTGTGCAAGAGAGACAGAGAGATATTCTCGCCGATTATTCATTAATTACTCTTTTTCTGTGATTAAATTGTGAACTTTTAGAATCTAATAATATAGCAGATCCTTGACAATGTAACATCCGTGTAGCGTACGTCTCCCCACTCTGGCCTCCCGTCCCTATATTATGTATAGTTAGTTACCAGATAACAAATAATTAGATTGTGGAAACCGCTCTTAAACTTTACCAAATATTATATTCAAGTTGGTTCGAGGATTGACCGTTGTATACATCGATAATTTTTATGTTCGGACGTTAATTATTATATTTAATGTGTTAATCAATTATCTATTATCCATCGTTAATCACTACGGTTAGTAAAAGTTAGTTAATTAATGTAATAGAGTTTAAGCATGCGTAGGATTAAAGAAAATAGATTTTATACCTTTGAAGCGAGTTTTGAAGCGAAGTCTCCGCTGGCGAGTCTACCGGGCAGAGATGCCAGAAAAGCACCGCCGGGTGCACACGCACACATGCCAGATACGCGTACGTGAGCTCGTGGAGTTTCGGAAAGTCGACAAAGGCAAACTGACGCATGCCCTCTTTCTCGATTCTCCGAAGCTGCCCGAAGTAATTTCGGATCGCCTCGTGGAAGTCGAGAGAGAAAGGCTCACATTTGCCTTCTCGCTCTAAACAACTGAAATCCGACCTCCCGTCAACGGCATACGATTTGGATTCTCGAGCCGAGATTCTCGACTGCCCAGGCATTTTTACTTTCCGACCTATGTAGGCGCACATAAGCAAAGTACCCATAATGAAAAAAAATTTTGTAAAATTTATTTTACGGAAATACACGTTTTAAGACCTCCTGATCATATTTTAATTATTGAAAAAAAAAGACATTTTTTTTATTCCCATGTATGAGCACACATATGTATATTATTAATACGATTTTTGAAAATCAAAATACTTTAAGATTGAAAATTAATAAATTAAAATGAGATTCCACTCTTTACCAGTATTGTGCACGCTGTGGTATTTTTCAATAAGAAGAGTTCTTACTTTTATAACATAAACAAAACAGTAGAATTAATAATTGCAGAAATTAATTAATAATGATTTTCCTCGATTGTTTTGAAATAACCGTATCAATTGGTTATGACGAACTAAATAGAACTAATTAGAAACAAAAGAAAAGTGATCCCGTTTGCCAGTTTAATACAAAGTATGGGTTGTATCTTAAATTTTAAAAGGACATAGTCGAATATTTTTAAAGGTACAAAACATAGCGTTTCATTGTAGAACAGTAACATAAGTTAGCAGGTAATGTCATAAAACTGTTTTTCCCAGCTATATCCATTTTTACCTGAAGTATAAGGTAAAAAGTACGAGCTACAAGGTACGACTATCCGAAAATCGTTCACATTTTATCAATGTAAATGAAGCGGCCTTTCCATCAGAGTTAAATACAAAATTTTGTTATTTCTGTGAAAACAGAACTTTCATTAGATGTAGGTGGTGCTTGAAATTGTTATGTTTTCACTGTTTTTACGAAAAGTACCATCCAGATTCATGTACTTCGTACATTGAAAATAACATATGTTAAATGCAATTGGTTAAATTCAACTTTAAAAAAAAAATATTCGAAGGTCAGACAAAAATATAATGTCACATTTAGTGTACGATTAAAATATGATTGAAAAAATAAAAAAAAAGGATTTGTTTTGGTAGGGTTTGAACCTGCAGAGCAGAAGAAGCTCGGAACTTGCAAGCAAATACCTTGTCATTCACGCTACGATGGTTGTTGAATGTATTTCTATTTCTGAAGATAAGTATCTGTAATAACTTTAATAATATCTCAAAGTAAAACCTAACCCAAAATCGGGTACCATTCCAACTTTTCCTTGTTAGAACCGAGTTTTCAATTTGTCTTAGCGAAAATCGTAATCACATTTTGCACATTATTCTAAAACATTTGTGGTATTCGTTTTCAATGCGATTTAAGTAAGCATGTAATGTATAAGATTTCATTTAATTTTTTCTTTTCTAGAGAAGATAGAGAAAAAGTTTATATAATTTTTTTTATATGTAAGGCGTCGGGAAAAGGCGAGGCCCAAGCCGAGGCGCTGGCAAGGGACCGCGTCTGGCCTTCGTCCGTCAACACTCCCACCCCTACCGATGGGGGAGAAGGCTGACGACAAAGGCGAGGGTCTAGGCCCAGGACGGGCTCATTTGTTTTTCCGACACTGAAAGAACGGGAATAAAGCATGTATACGAATAACCTGCGTATTTCTTAATTCCTAATTCCATTCTACGCGGCTGTCGAACATATATAAAATTTAATTCGTCCTAAGATTTATATGAAACATTTAAAAGATTTTTTATACATTATGCCTATACATATATCGGAACAACTATGAAACAAGAGGTATAATCATTATTATCCATGGACTGATTATAGTCAAAGTCTAACCGGACTTTGAAATGAGAACATAAAACTTAAATGTAAAGTTTCATTTAAATTCATTTAGCTATTTATACTCAATCGTAATAATAATATACATATGTGTGCTCATACATGGTAATAAAAAAAAATTTCTTTTTTTTCAATAATTAAAATATGATCAGGAGGTCTTAAAACGTGTATTTCCGTAAAATAAATTTTACAAAATTTTTTTTTCATTATGGGTACTTTGCTTATGTGCGCCAACATAGGTCGGAAAGTAAAAATGCCTGGGCAGTCGAGAATCTCGATTCGAGAATCCAAATCGTATGCAGTTGACGGGAGGTCGGATTTCAGTTGTTAAGAGCGAGAAGGCAAATGTGAGCCTTTCTCTCTCGACTTCCACGAAGCGGTCCGAAATTACTTCGGGCAGCTTCGGAGAATCGAGAAAGAGGGCATGCGTCAGTTTGCCTTTGTCGTCTTTCCGAAACTCCACGAGCTCACGTACGCGTATCTGGCATGTGTGAGTGTGCACCCGACGGTGCTTTTCTGGCATCACTGGTCTTCTCTTTCAAGTCGACTGCACTGCTACCCGGCGCCGAAAACAGCGTACTATTTCTCTACAAACGTGAACATTCTATCGTAATATTCGTAATTGGCGATGCAGTCCAAGTAGAAAAAGAGAACAGCGTGCTACAGCTACGAAGAGAAAGAGATCATATTTCCGCCATTTTGATAAATCAAGCCACCGCTTGATAATGTAGTAATTAGTCTTTTTCTGGGATGCTTCGATTAAAGAGAAAGAATGTGAGAGAGAAAGAGAAAAAGAAAACTTGAAGTCGCGAGATTACTGGGTAAATAGATATTTATCAGTCACAATATACGAGGATGGCCGCGATTTTGTTAACACGTCACATGTCCAAATCTAGATATTAAATCCCAATGTTACAGATGGATTTATATTTAATGAACATTTTAAAAATTGAGCAGAATTTAGATTTTCTTTTGAAAGTCTGATCATTTTTAAACTATCAATTTGAGATCTTGAATATTTTCTTACGAAAGCTCCTGCGCAGGCGTCGGACTTTCGTTGTGAACAAATAATCACAAGATTTCCAAGATACAAGATACCAAGTCAAGTGTGCTTAGAAACGTAGCACGCGCTACGCGCTTTTATCTTTGAGCGTGCATACATTTAATATCTAACGAAAAACAATGGGATCCAACCGATTTGTAGTAAGACCCGAACACTTCTTGTACGTATGCATTGCGAGTATATATCTTTTATCAGTAGTTTCAAGCGAGAACGAACCTCGATATGATGATAAATATCAGAATGTTATGACGTCGGCGGTAAGTATTTAATTATTTTTTTTTCTATATTGAATAATGTGAGTATTCATGACAAATTTTAGAAACCCGATGGCATGATGACATCACAAAGCAAGGACAACTTTAGTTTTCTACATGCATTTATAGCTTCCTTATCAGTCATTGTCGTTTCCGAGTTAGGCGACAAAACTTTTTTCATTGCTGCTATTATGGCAATGAAACATCCTCGATTGACTGTTTTTGTAGGAGCAATTAGTGCTTTAGCTTTAATGACTGTCCTTTCAGGTATTGCCATTCATAAAACCTTTAAGAAACAATTACTAGTATCTATGTTTAAAGTAATACACTTATTTTGACGATCTTAAATTACTTTCTAACTATTCGTTGTACGATAAAATTGGTTAAATAAGAATTTTGTTGTATCAAGAGGAATATGGAATGTAATAATTAGTCATTTGTAGGCTTATCATTTTACAGAAATGTAGAAATCATTTTCTGTTTTGTTTAAAAATTACAGAGTATCTGATGGTAAATAAAAGCATATTATAGTATATGTTTAACCCCTTTGATATAAGTGACAGCTGTAGCCAGTATTATAATGGCTGTGTGACCCATGTGCTGTAGAAAATGTAATGAGTGATCAACACCTCTGCCACTGGGGTTGCTGTACAATCTAACCAACCCATATCAAAAGGGTTAATGTTAACAGGTACCAAGTTATTTGCAAATTAAATTTTATTTGTATATCATCTTAAATTTCACTAACAAGTATAAATATAGGACCTTCGAGTCATCAATTTCATTGAGATTTTGACCACTGATAGATCTTGTTACTCCATTTACAAATATATACCATTATAGGGTTAGATACTCAATATTTTTCGAGATATTTACAATTAAAAAGCTTCTATACTCCTTGAAAAATACTTGAATAGATACCACTAAGCAAGGGGCATGGCTCAGGTATTACGTGTCAGACTGCTGACCAGACAGGTCAGAGAGCGATTCCCTGTCCGTGCAATTTTTTTTTAATTCTTTGTTTTCTTTTCTATATTTGTATATACAAAATATTTTATATAAAATTAAAGAAATGTATGAAAAAATATATTTTCATGAAAATATTTTTATTTGATATTAGCTTTAAATTTTACTTACTATACAAACAATTACATGTGAAAAAATATTTCTATTTATTGTTACTTGAAATACATACATTTTTGAAATTTGAAATTAAAATATTTTGTATATGCAAATACAGAAAAGAAAAAAGAAAAGAATTAAAAAAAAATTGCATGTATGGGGAATTGAACTCTGACCTGTCCAATCAGCAATCTAACATGTAATACTTGAGCCACGCCAACTCTTGGTTACTGGCATCCATTCAATTTCTTTTCAGGAGTATCGAAACTTTTTAATTGTAAATATTTCGAAAAAAAAATGAGTATCTAACCTTATAATGGTATATATTTGTAAATGAGGTAGCAAGAGCTACCAGTGCTCAAAATCTCAATGAAATCGGTGACCCGAAGGTCCTGTATTTTCCTTGTAAGCAATGTGACAACTAAGAATTAACAATATCTGTTCACAAACTAATAGGATAATGTTTGATACATTTTAATAGAGTGTTTTATTCACTGATATTTTTATTATTCTATTGGTAACATAATTAATGGGTCTGTTATAGTACAGTGTGTAATAAGATTTTATTTTTCTCTCAGCGTATGATAATTTTTCTAATCCTTGACAATCTTTTTAACCCAGCACTTAAAACATACTTAAATTAAATTTTAGTATGAGTTAAAAATGATTAATGTATTGCATTATGTATTCCTCTTAAACGAACAATTCACAAGTATTTATAATTATATAGTTGACATTATCATTACAGTAATTTCCTTAGAAAGGAAAGTCATAAAAATTATTAGAATATTATATTTCATAGCATTATATTTCAATTTAATTTTCAGTGATTTTTGGATATGCTGCAACTATAATCCCTCGAGCCTATACATATTACATTTCTACTGCTCTTTTTGCTATATTTGGTTTGAAAATGCTACGAGATGGTTATTACCTGTCCACAACAGAAAGACAAGATGAATTAGAAGAAATACAAACTGATTTAAGAAAACGAGAAGATGAGGTATTGAATGAATTATCATTTAAATTGTTTCAGAGGTTTTTTCTAATGTAAATTTTATTGAATGATTAATACATAGCTATTCCTATAACAATTTTGCAAGAATGAAATAATTTTTAGATATATACTTTTTAGTACGAAAAGGAAACAGGAAGCACTCGAGTACAAGATCTAGAGACTGGTATTATTAAAAAAACAACAAAAATCAGTGCATTGATGCTCCTCTCTAGAATATTTCTTCAAGCATTTACACTGACGTTCCTTGCGGAGTGGGGAGATCGCTCGCAACTTACAACTATTATACTTGCAGCCAGAGAGGTTACGAATAGTCATATTTAAAGATTAAAACTGTAACACAAATATAAAATATAAATATAAAATAGTCATCATCATCAGTTTCAATTATTACTTGCAGGATGTTTATGGAGTTGTAGTAGGTGGAGTATTAGGACATTTATTCTGTACAGGATTAGCAGTATTAGGAGGTAGAATGATAGCTCAGAGAATTTCAGTACGAACAGGTAAAATATTTTTTTCTAACATTAATAAATCACCAGATTCTAAGAAATTAAAATATTATGACAAGTTATCAAATATTTATTTATATAAAAGTTTGCTAAAAGGGTGTAATACAAAAGTAATGAAAAATGAAAAAATTTTTTATTTTTAGTGACCATAATTGGTGGATTAGTGTTTCTACTATTTGCTTTAACAGCACTTTTTATCAGCCCCACAGAAGATATATGACAACAATATAGTATTTATAACGCTTGCTATAGAACAATATTCAACTGTTAATAAGTCTCGATTGTTAATATTTAAAATTTTAAAGTTATTTGTTCAATACGTTAAATGTTCAAATTTTGTAAAATAGTAATAGCTTATATTTTTATATGTAGGATCGTAAAAGGAAGATGGAATTTCTGGGTCGGTTGGCTTAATATAAGAAAGGGAACAGTTAATATGAACAACAACGTGATATTTAAAATAAACGCTCCCTTCTCGCGCGAATGCTCGATGCCGACTTCCTTGTTCATTTTCTACGAGACTCACATTTTTGAAAACATAATAATAACAATAACGGATAACGGTAACGACGACGATTGCAAAACTTCAGAGCTATTTTTTTACTGTTTCCACACTTGGCCATCCTGGAATCGGCATCGATCCCGATACCTATCCCTTCATTTTGATAATCTTCCACGGGTAGATCGATGTCTAAATCTAGTCCCCGATGTTAAGGCCAAAACTTAACACATTGAGCGCCTGCACCAACAGCATGTAAAAATTTTTTATATTTTATAATGTCACTATTGAACTCAATATATAATTTAAATGCATTAAACATTGTACAATCTAAAAGAAACAATACTGTTCCACGTTTTCGCGGGCCCGACGCTCAAGCGACAGACTCGGAATCCCGTGTTTTCGCGGGGCCGGCGCTCAATGTGTTAAGATGATCGGTGGATGTGCTAATTTGATTCGGGCCTTCGTGTTCGCCCAATTTCTTCACCAGGTAACGATCGTTCCTCAGTACTGTAGGATTAAAATTGTAATTTAATCACTTAGTCAGAACTCGCGAATTAACAAAACATGGAACAAGGAACTTTATTAACACCAGAACAAACACCAAACAAATAATATTCACTAAATCGTTACAATCGTAATCACAAAACCGTTATAATCGTAATGACCGTCACGTACAATCGTTTCGTCGTCGAATCGACCGGCAAAAGACCCCCTTGCCTTCTCGACGCGTCCTTTTTAACCCTTTCCCGTCCCAAACATCCGCCGATTCCATATCCGGAGAAGTTTCCAGAACATTCTCGTCGTTTCGCAAGAACGTTCCGTTACCATACTTAATACATTCATACATTCATACATCCAATCATGCAATCGTTCAGGGTCGACACATTCACGCAATTCAATCCTTACCAGTTCCACATCCGGTAATCTTTCCCGAATGTTCTTAACATTTCCAAACATTCCATCTCTATGGCCAACGCACTCATACATTCAATCGTTCAATTAGAGTCGACACATTCAGATCACTCAGCCGTTCTTCACGATCGATACGAAACGACGGAAAACACTCGTCTCCTACAGTACCGTCATGATTTTGTATGGTCCTAACTATATTGGACAAACTTTTAGACCTGGTCCAAATTGGGTCCTTTGGATCGCTACATTTCCAACTTGGTACTTAGCAAGTTTCCGTCCTTTATCCAATGTTCGTTCTCCTCTTGAATTTTGAGAATATTTTTTTTCGCCTCATTCCCCAATTCGATTCTATCTTCCTGGAATTCCACAATCGCTTCTTTCCGAATGGCATTACGTAGCTCGAAATCATCCTTCAGATGTAGCTTTCGGCCTATGAGAAGTTCGAATGGGGTTCTTCTGATGCGTAACTCTTCTTCGTTGAAGGAATCGGACCCAAATGGTCCACGTGGTAAGTGTCGAAAGGTCGATCACTCTTTACTAAGGACTACAGAAGTCCTTCGGCCTTGCCCCGCTTCTTCTCGGCCAAGTCTGTCGAGCTGATCCTCTATTAAAGGGAGAGAGTAACGGTCTCTCACAATCTTATTTAATTGCCAGTAGTCCACGCACAGCCTCGGATCCCCGTTCTTCTTCTCCATTAAAACAATCGAAGTAGTGTAATCAGAGATACTGGGGCGAATGATACCTTTTCTCATCTAATCACGTTCACCACGGTTCGTTGATTCGCAGATAGTCATTGAGGACTCTGATAAATATTAACTTCGTCCTTAAGTACGATGCGCATTTTCACACTGCAGTCTCTCATTTTCTCCGGATTGTAGCTTCTCACCAGGTCGATTCTTCGTCATTTCGTGTATTTATGCACAACACTTCGAACCATCCAGTGTCGTCGATTTTTGTCACTGTGTCTTCAAGTTTCGACAACGTTGCTTATTTTTAGATTTTCGAATTTTTTTTGGGACACACCCTGTAATTGTGACACCAGATGAAAAAATAACCTATGCAAAATTTGAAATTGATCGGACAACGGGAAAACGTGGCACATCGCAGTTGAAAATTTGGTATTTTTGTAACCCGATTTTCTCTGTAAAGTATATCGTTATCACACACTTTAGCACCTCTTTGAATTCGTCTTTTTACGCTTATTAAGGATATAGAAACAAAATTTTGAATTTTTTGTTTTTTATAAGTTGCGGTTTTCAAATTTCAAAAATTTATTGCGGGGAAAAAATATTTTTTTTTTGCATTACATTTACTTCGTTAAATAGTGCTAGTTTTACTTATAACATTTTTTTTCTATGTTTATAAATAACGAAGATATTTATAGTGATTTTTTAAAGCGTTTTTACGTTTTTGACTTCATATTTCAAAAACGTATGTGTATATCAAGATTATAGTTTCTTAATTATTTAATATTACAATTAATTGGTACGGACAAAATAATTTATGTAAACGCGTGTGAAATAGTATTCAAAGTCTTGGAAGTAGACATTTTCCTCCGGCTAGCTGCTATAGTATAGTACTTTAATATCATTAATTGTGGTCAGTTAGGCTACTATCTGTTCTGAACAAAGGATCAGGTACTCACTTGAAGTCCCGCGGAAGGAATGCGAGAGAAGTAGAAGGGATATACATATTTCCAGTTAGACACACATGCGGACTGACTGACGAGGAAGGCAACGAGATAGAAAGAGATAATGAGAAACACGTGGCGGACAGAGCCCTATTATACAAGTTATATCTAATACAAGACAACAATATGCTAGGAAAGTATAGGTTATGTAATTACCAATGGAAGTATAATACTGTTATTTAATATTTAAATCGGATTATCTGAAACAAAATATTTGATTCCATTAAGGAAAACTAATTATATCTCAAAATCATCTTTGTTGCTCCACTTATAAAAAAGTGCTAATATTACATATTGTTCCTTGCTATTGTTAGAAACGTAGAAAACAAGGAATGCCTGAAGCAGGCCATGTGCTTCTCCTTGGCGCGCCTCCCCCTCCTAAAGGAGGATCGGCCAGAATGTTTAGACAAAGAAGGACCGTACTGTCAAGGGTGCCCTCACGACCCTGGTTTTCTGTCAGGGTACAGAACTGTATTGGCTTTTGCTGTGAGCAGATATATGCTACAGTTTTAGAAAGCAACTCGTGTCGATTTTATTTAAAACGCCCGACTGCTATCCAGATCCTGATATCGAACTTTTCTTATACTATATTAACACATTGCGTACGGGTGACGAGATATCTTGTTTTCATGTTTTTTCGACTCAATCGATGTCTTAAGGAACTAAAAATAGATTTTTTATGAAACAGCATACCCTTGAATCAATAATAGGCAAAGGCAAAAGGAAATTCCCAACAAAAAAATGTAAAGTCTGCTTGTCCAGTGGAGAAAGGAGCGAAACTAGATATAGTTGCAAATTGTACCGAATACCATTGCACAGAGGAGAATGCTTCACCAGATATCATAGTCTAAAGCATTACTCAAGTGTATAAAATAAATAATAGTTAAAATGTAAAAAAGTTTACATAATAAATAAATGTATAAAAAATATATAGTAATATTTAAGAATATCTTATGTGAATATAATACCGAACGCGAATCAAAAAAGTACATACAGTGAGTGTAAAAAGTATTCGTACACTAGTCAATTTGAACAAAAACTTTGCAGAACTTTGTTTATTACAAAAGTATGTTAACAAAAACATGCATACATATTCTTAGAAATCTCTGGAACAAATGTCATTAACAACAAATTATTTATTTATATTTATTATGAAAATATTAACAAATTTCCAGAAATTGGCGTGAAATATACGCGTAATAAGTATTCGTACACTTCTAATTTTACAACAAAAACTATAAATTTTAGTACATAAACGTAACAAAAATCAGTCTATTTGCTATTTTAGTATCTAGTGGGATTTCCTTTAGATTGTATAATCGCTTTAAGCCTTTGCGGCATTGAATTTACTAAATTTTTGGTTATAGTACTAGAAATTTTGTTTCATTCCTCTAAAAGTGCATTTTTTAAATCTTGTTTCGAAGAAATGTGATGGTCTCGAATTTTTTCTTCAAGATGACTCCATAAGTGCTTTATCACATTTACGTCTGGAGACTGTGGAGGGATTTTTAATTGCTGCGGCACATTATATAGGATCGACTGACGTGTATTATAAGCATTTTGCTTTGGATCATTATCTTGCAAAAATATATAATTGCCCTGTAACTGCATTTTATTTGCACTATCCTGAAAATGCTCTTTTAGAATATCGATGTACATTTTGTGATCCATGATACTATCGATAAAATGGAGAGATCCAACCCCGCTCGCACTCATAGAGCTCCAAACTGTGACTGATCCTCCTCCATGCTTTACGGTCGGCTTCAAATTTCTTTTTTCGTACTTGGTATTTTTTTTCCGCCATACTGTACATCGTCCATCTGACCCAAATATGTTAAATTTACTCTCATCAGTAAATATAATACGGTTCCAGTGCTCCATAGGAACATTAACGTACTCTTTCGCGAATTGCAATCGTTTCTTTCTATTAATTTCATTTACGAAATATTTCTTACGAGCTACTCTGCCGTGATATCCTCTATCCCGTAAAAAATTACGCACTGTGCTACTGCATACATTAATGTCCAGATCATTTTTAAGTTCAGCTGTGATTTTCACCGCACTTATCTTCGGATTTTGCTTTATTTTTCGAATTATCCATCGGCCGGTATACTCATTTATTATTCGTTTACGTCCGTTTCTTGGATTATTTTTTACAGTTTTTCGATCGCCATATCTGTCAATGATTCCTTGAATCGTGGAACTCGGTCTATTTAAAACTTTAGAAATTTCACTCAGTGTTTTACACTTATTATGTAAATTTATAACAATTTTCCTTTCTTCTTCAGAGGTTTCCTTGCGTTTTCGTCCCATTTTACTGATAATTTCGTTGATAATGTTTGAATTCAGGATACTACCTATACCGACAGCGTCTCCAGACATACTGATGCTAAGTATGTTTACATATCATGGATTATCTTGTAATCGTTCTATGTGGAATGTTACGAATCAAAGACTTTACGAATACTTATTACGCGTATATTTTAGGTCAATTTCTGGAAATTTGTTAATATTTTCATAATAAATATAGATAAATAATTTGTTGTTAATGACATTTGTTCCAGAGATTTCTAAGAATATATATGCATGTTTTTGTTAACATACTTTTGTAATAAACAAAGTTCTGCAAAGTTTT